AAAATAAATAAAAACGTTGAAAAAAAAATTTTTTTTTAAAAATTTCATATATAAATAAAAAAAATAAATAAAAGACTGGGTCCCCTTCTTGTTTTTAAATTTTAATTTCAATTGAGATAATTGTAGGTTCCATGCAGTTGTAAGCAATAATACAAAGAAATGCCACCTACACTTCATCTAGTTTTCCCCAATGGTAACATTTTATAAACGTACAGTGCAGTATTATCACCAGGACATTGGCACTGATTCAGTCTGCTGGTCTTCAGATTCCCCCTTGTCTCATTTGTGTGTGTATGTATTCTTTTCACTTTTATCACGTTTAGGTTTGTGTATCCACCACCATGGTCAAGATACTGAATAATTTGATCACCACAGGGATCCTTCCTCTTGCCCTTTTATAACCACACTTGACCTCCTTTCCAACCTATGCCCCCACTCCACCTCCCTCCCTCCTCCAGTCTTTAACCTGGCAACCAATAACCTGTTCTCCATTTCCAAAATGTAAAAATGAAACCACATAGTATGTAACCTTTTGGGGTTGGCTTTTTTCACTCAGCCTGATTCCCTGAAGATTCATCCAAGACGTGGATGTCAGTGAGTCCCATTTTTAAATTTAGCGGAAGAATGTTTTATGGAAGTTTTGGATTCTGAACTCCCTTTGTAAATATCAGTTTCTGTTGCATTAATGTATACTTTGAGTAGTGGATAAAGCATGCATTTTTAAGTGTGATTGACTTAGGACTAAGTCTCATTGCTACTTGGGAAAAATTATTTTAACCGTGTTCAGCCTTGATTTTCTTAGGTGTAAAATGAGGATAAGACCTATTTCATAGAATATTTTTTTAAAAATGAGGTAACATGTAATGTTCTTATCACCATGCCTATCATATAAGTGTTCCATAAATGGCAGTGGAAAAGAAAGATAAGGCTACTACAGCAATATTCTTACAGTCTGTGACTTCTAGGTTAATCTTGGAAGAAATGGCTTTAGCATTCCAAATACTTGTTGGAATTTATGTATGTTTCATATATTTCTCTTTAGCCATTAAACATCAATGCTTAGTTCTTCAGAATAGGTGTATCTGATCCTTCTATTGTGTCTTAATTGGCCATAGTAAAAAGTAAATGATTGCTTTAGTGTTTTATATCTCAGTCAATGAAGACTAGTTACCTTGAATTAACAAATTATCTCTTTTATATAATATTACAGATTTGTTAAGGTTGGAATATCAGTAATGCTTATATTTAAAGTTTTATGTTTGTATATATATTTTCCACCCCACAGGTCACCGGAGTCCTGGATGATTGCTTGTGTGATATTGATAGCATTGATAACTTTAACACCTTCAAAATCTTCCCCAAAATAAAAAAATTGCAAGAGAGAGACTACTTCCGTTATTACAAGGTACGTTATAATTTTTGGTTCCATTCGTAGCAAAGGTTTTTACACAGCTGTCTACAGATGTGACTTTTATGACCCTTTTGAAAGCCCATTTTGACTCTTCTCAGCACCCTCTGTGTGTTTTATCGTTGGAATATATTAAGTATTGTGGCGAAACCTGATAGTCTTTTTGAACACAAAGAATCTGAACCTTCTTCCTGTGTTTGGGGGATTCGTCATCTTTCAAGTTTTGTTTTTGAGACAGAGACTCATTCCACGGAAGCTCAAAATGCCAGACTTCCTTGGTCAGCCTTCCTTGTGACGTTGCCGCCTCTATCTAGACACCGACCCAGGTTCTCTGCTGTGCTGATGGCAGTGGCCTGTGTTAGCATTGTAAGCTGTACAAAGTACCCCCACGGCAGACGTTCACCAGAAGGGCTGGCCCCAGGCTGAGGGTACAAGCACCATTCATAGTAAAACTGCAGAATCGGTTCTTAAACCTAACAGTCGTCTCCAAGTATAACCATAACAGCTTAAAGGGAGGAGAAATGAGGCAACATTCAAAAGAACGGTATTTTAAATTTAAGAACAATATTTTAGAAGCTGCTGTTCTGCTTTGCCTATGCTCTTGTGCTCAGCATTCAGTTGGGTTCATAAGTTCTCTGATTTTCATTTTTAGTTTATTTTAAAAATTGAGCATGATTTTACACTTTTTTTAAATCCTGATCCTACATAGGCTGTCTTAGTCTTTAAATATTTTTGAGGATAAAAAAATTTAGAAGAGGAACTAATGGCCATTCTTTTTATGGTACCACCAAAATCTTGAATCAATTTCCCATATTTTTGCAACACTTTGTACAAGTGTCAAATTTCTGGCAGAACACTTCTATAAGTGTCTAATTGACCAAAAGAGGGAAAGACACTTTGGTTAGCAATCCTACTTGCATAAATATAAGGGAAGTGATTGTTTCTTAACGGAACATTAGAGGATGTTACAGAAGAAGGAAAAATGAAAGTTGGATAGGCAGAAAGAACAATGTTCTAAAAAAACGTTCTACCCAATTTAACAAAATTGCTCTGTGTGTAATGGGAACATAGTCCTGTTCTCCCAAGGGAGGGTCATGCAGTAATCTAGTTAATGGATTTATCTCCATGGCAAGGATAGCAGTGATACCCACTCCTTTTCTAGTTCTGTCAACCTATGAATTAAACTAAAGGGACATTTAATCACCACAGTATCCTGTACGTGCACCAGTGGCAGAAAGGAAAGCTGAGAGAAGAGGTGAATTGTAAACATGCACATACATACTGGTGATTGAGCACGCAAGGGTGCACAGGTTGAGGCACCAGTCTGCCCCTGTCGACTGGTCAGCTGGCTGTTGTAGTTAGTGTTTACAATTTCTTGTACTATCCATTCCATTCCTTTAGTCATGGAGTATTTATTGAATGATTATTCTGTGGGAGGCCCTATTCTAAGTGCTGTGGATACAATAGTGAATAACACAAAGACTCTGACTTCATGAAGCTTTTATTCTGATTAGGAAGGCAAACAATAAACAATGAAATATAATTTCATATGGTTATACGGTAAGTGCTATGGAGAAAAATAAAGTAGGAGATACAGAGTAATTAATGGGGTGGGGGTGGAAGGTAGCTTTATCTTTGACGAGGATGACCAGGAAAGGAAAGTATTCATACTGTGCTGTTTGAGTGAAGACCTACATGACGTGAAAGCCATGATGAGATACGGGGAAAGAACATTCCAGGGAAGGGGAGGAGAACTGCAGGTGTAAAGGTCTAGAGTGTTTGAGGAATAAGAAGACAGGGATAGGCTGGAGCAAAGTGAGTGAGATGGAGAGTTGGAAAAGTGGGTAGGGGCCAGATTAAAAACAAACAAAAAAAAAAAATTAGAAGGCCCTATTCGCCACATAAGGATGTTGAATTTTAGTGTAGGTGTGATCATTTCTGGAGGGATTTGTACAAAACAGACTAAGGGTGTGAGACAGGAAATAGAGAAAAACCACATAGGAGGCTTCTGCAGATGAAAGGTAACGGGTTTGGAATAGGGCAGTAGACTTGGAAGAGGTGAAAAGTGAGCAAATGAGCATTATATCTAAGAGGTAACACCAAAAACTTGTCTGATGGTGTGAATGTAAGCTCTGAGGGTAGAGGTGAAATCAAAGATAATGCTGAGTTGTGAGCATACTACAAAAAAGTATGTCCTGACCAAGTTCATCTTATTCTAAGAATGCAAGGACAAGGCTTTTAGGTCTTTAACACAATTAAACACACATTCTTGATTTTTTTAAAAATAGGAATGATGGATACTTCCTTAACATGAACATTTTAATGCTAACATGAGCATTGCCAACCTCTTACTTGCTGGGAAATAATAGAGGAATTCACACTTAGGTGAGGGACCAAGACAGAGGCACCCATATCTCCTTTACTGTTGGAGGGATTAGTATATCACAACAGCTAGAGGATAAACATTTTTAAAGAATAAGGAAAATGGTCTCCTTTTATAAATGACAGAAGTATTCTAGAAAACTCAAGTAATAAAACGAACACAAGTGATAAATGCATTAAGCTCGCAGGCTACAAAGTTATCAATATCTTCATAAATACAAACAATAACAAGTTAGAGGATCTGATGGAAAAGAAATCCCCATTTACATAAGCAGTGTGAAAAAAGGTGAAATATATAGGAGTCAAAAACTGTGCAAGACCTAGAGGAGGAAAGCCTCAAAACCCTACTGGGAGACCCAAAAGTAGGCTTCAAGAAATGGACAGGTGTGTCTATAGCTAAAGAGGTTGGTTCTCTCCACGTTGGCGTATACGTTCAGTGTGATCCTAGTAAAAGGACCAATATTTTTTTCCTGGAGCTGGACAAGTCGTTGCAGCCTCAGTTCTCTGGGCAGCAGATGAGACTGTGGTTGGTGTGCAAGAGGTTACTGAGGGACTGCTCGTGGAAGTGACGGCTCAGGGAAGGACCAGGCGGAAGGGAGGCGAAGCTTTGGGAGTCCGCCTCTGTGGAGACCTCAGGTGACCCTCTGGGAGCCCTGGAGACAGGATGGCCCTCCAGAACTCTCCCCCCCTTGCCAGAGAGACCTAGGCCTCTGCAGCCCTCCATCAGTCATTTGCAGGCCGCCGTTGGAAGGAGTGGTGTGTCCTTGTGCTAAGTGTCTGTCTTCGGCTGAGGCCAGCTGCCTGCAATGTTTTTGGAAGCCCGGGGTAACAAGCCCTTCCTGAAGGCTGACGTTAGCACCATGTTCCAGTGTCCACCACAGTCCGCTCCTTGCTCTGTGTTACTAGTTTTCTGTTGCTGCATGGCAGTTTAGTCTAAAATGTAGCAACTTAGGGGCGCCTCAGTTGGTTAAGCATCGACTTCAGCTCAGGTCATGATCTTGCCGCTCCTGAGTTCGAGCCCCACATTGGGTTCTGTGCTGACAGCTCAGAGCCTGGAGCCTGTTTCAGATTCTGTGTCTCCCTCTCTCTGCTGCTCCCCTGCTTGTGCTCTGTCTCTCAAAAATAAATAAACATTTAAAAAAAACATGTTTTTAAATGTTTAAAATGTAGCAACATAAAGCAGCAAACTGAGAAGGTGGGATTTGGGGAAGACCTAAAGAGAGGAGGAAAGCAAGCCATGTCGATATCTGGAGGGAGCACACCCCGTGCAGAGGGACCAGCGGGAGCAAAGGCCCTGACTCTACAGTGTGTCTCCTGTTTTGAGGAACAACCCGGGAGCCAGTGAATAAGGGGCAGAGAGCAGACGGACAGGCCACGTAAGGCATTCCTGACCGTTACAGGGACTTGGGTTTTGAACTAACCCAATTTTTAGAAGTATTGGATGTGGAGTGAGAAAGTAAGGAGTCAAGAGTGATGCTGGGATTTTGGCCTGAGGATCTAGAGTAATGGGGTTGCTGTTTTCTGAGATGGCAAGAAGAATGTCCTGTGGAGAGATCCGAGAGGCATTGGACGCATAAGCCAGGAGTTCAAGGAACCTGCAGTTCCCAAAAGAGGTTGTCTTCGGACATCCCGAACCCTCTGCCTGGAAATCTCTTTCTCTAGGAAACCTGTATCCGAGTTCTCCCCATTTTACATGTAACTGAAGGGAGGCCTCCCCTGATTAACTCCACGGTCAGAGCTGACCGCACTCTCCTTGTGTCACCAGTTCCACGTGTTTTTGCCTCTTCCTCCGTGACGTAGGTGTTATTCACTTCATTTAACGGCTATTGATTGAGCTGTCTATTAAGTATCCCAGGCACTGGGGATAGAATAATGAAGAAGGTGAAATCTCAGTCCTTACAATGGGAGATGCAGGCAATAAGTAAATCAGAAATAGGTAGTGGTGAGTGCTATAAAAGAATAAAAACAGGGTGTAGGGTGCATACTGAGTGCTACTTTAGAGAGTCTGGTCAGGGAAACTCTTTGCCGAGGTGGTATCTGAGAGAGCCCTGGCCGAGGTGAGGGGAGCAGGCCGTGAGACCTGGAGGAGCAACAGGCCAGGCAAAGAGGAGCCACTGTAGAGGCCTGGAGACCAGGAGCTGGGTATGTTCCAGGCCGGAGGGGGTATGTTCCAGGCAGGAGGGCCAGTGTGGCTGGAGGTGCACAGGAGACCAGGTGAGAGAGGGCCTAGTGGCGCTTGCTACAGAGCTGGGATTCCTTCTGAAGGTGCCGGGAAGCCACAGGAAGGTGTTGAGCAGGGATTGATTGGTACCGTCTGAATTACGTTTCAGAGGGATCACTGTGGCTGCTGTATAGTAGAAGCAGGGAGCATGGGGTAGTCCTGGGATTCCCCTCCCTCCCTCCCTCTCTCTCTCTCAAAATAAATAAAATTAAAAAAAAAAAAGCAGTGGAGGTAGTGGGAAGAAGTGGATAATGAATTGTGCATGGAGGTAGCAGAGGGAAGAAAGGAGAATAAAACTTTGATTTTTGGCTCAGGCAATCCATCTGGCAGTCCTGTTGAATCACTTTCTGTTAAGTTCAAGATAAGAAAATCCAGAGTTTTTAACAACATGGTTAAAATGGTCCGTCCCTGGGGCGCCTGGGTGTCTCAGTCGGTTGAGCGTCCGATTTCGGCTCAGGTCATGATCTCGCAGTCCGTGAGTTTGAGCCCCGCATCGGGCTCTGTGCTGACAGCTCAGAGCCTGGAGCCTTTTCTCTCTTTCTCCACCCCTCCCGTGCCCATGCGTTATCTCTCTCTGTCTCAAAAATAAATAAACGTAAAAAAAAAAAAAAATTTTTTTTTAAATTTGAAAAAATGAAATGGTCCATCCCTTTCCTATGTCTGCACTCATTCTCCCACTAAAAGTTGGTTAAACTGTTTTGTTTTCCAGTTCCCACAACTGTTCAAGCTCTATCACCTTATCCAAATGCACAATTTCTCCAACTTTGATCCATCCTGAGATATTACCTCCTCAGAGGCTGCCATCCACCAGCCCCATTATTTTCCATTGTGAAACTCTGGATTTTTGTTTGTAATTAAACATTAATTCCCTCCAGTAGATTATCAGTTCCCGGGGGAAAGTGCTTTTTGTGTCTCTTTTTGCCCCAGAACCTCCATGGTGCCAGACAGATAGTGGGTGCTCGGTGCACGTTTAGGTGGCTGGGCGCATGAGCGAATCCTCACGGGTAAGGTAACGGCATGGTGCCGACAGTTGTGAAAATGCTTTCCAGGGTCTGCAGGTGAGCAGTGTGCTTGGACTTTATTCCTTTTGGGAAGTGTCAGAGGACTAATAGTTATTTTTTACATTAATATTACACCTGGGTGTCTGAAAACCTGCAGTCATTTAAGATTCTGAACTCTATAGATGACACGGGAGAGGAAGCTTTTTCTTCTAACTCACCAGCATGTCATTGGCGCCCACACAGTGACACTTAGCATGCGGACTGTGACACTTCTATCCTAATGTTAATCCAATCTCTCTCTCAAGGTTAATCTGAAGCGACCATGTCCTTTCTGGGCAGAAGATGGCCATTGTTCAATAAAAGACTGCCATGTGGAGCCCTGTCCAGAGGTAAAATAAATTTAAAAAATATGAATAGGGAAAACATTGCTTCCTCTTGGGCTTTTAGACAAACATGAACTTTATATTTTATTGATGGATTTAGACCTGTCATCAAATTCATAAACTGTTAGATCTCTCCTTTTTAAGTATTTTTATTTTATTTATTTATTTTGAGAGAGAGTGCCGGGGAGGGACAGAGGGAGGGGGAGAGAGAGAGAATCCTGGGCAGGCTCCACACTCAGCACGGAGTCCATCGTGGGGCTTAATCTCACAACCCTGGGATCATGACCTGAGCTGAAATCAAGAGTTGGATGCTTAATTGACTGAGCCACCCAGGTGCCCCTAGCTCTCTCCTTTTTACTGAGATTATTAAAGATTTTATACTCATTACCAAAATGGGTTTGAAGACACTTGTATCCAGTGGTATTGATGACTGGATATGGAAGTATAGTATTCTAAAACAGATGGAAAATCAGGGGCCTGTCCTAGGATTGGATCTACAATGTCTAACGCTTATTTCATGCTTTATTGGATGTGCATCTTGTTTCATAAGAAAAATAATGCTACCAGGGGCGCCTGGGTGGCTCAGTTGGCTGAGCGTCCGACTCTTGATTTCAGCTCAGGTCATGATCCCAGGGTCATGGGATCCAGCCACGTGTTGGGCTCTGTGCTGAGCATGGAGCCTGCTTAAGATTCTCTCTCCATCTCTCTCCTCCCCCTGCCCCTTTCCTTGTCTTGTACTCTCTCTCTCTCTCTCTCTCTCTCTTTCCCTTCCTCCCTCCCTCCCTCCCTCTCAAATGAAAAGAAAAGTAATGCTACTGGACCTTCAATTTTACATTTAGAGTGAGTACTACCGCTAGTAAAGTGCACTGGAGAATCTCAGGCTTGGTATCAGGTTTGCACTTGGTCTTGTTATATTAAAAAAAAAATAGCTATACTTATATTTTAGACTTCATTTTTTGGCATCTAGCACAATTCTTTTTTTTTTTTTTTTTGAATATATGAAATTTATTGTCAAATTGGTTTCTATACAACACCCAGTGCTCATCCCAAAAGATGCCCTCTTCAATGCCCATCACCTACCCTCCCCTCCCCCCCAACCCCCCACCAGCCCTCAGTTTGTTCTTATTTTTTAAGACTCTCTTATGCTTTGGCTCTCTCCCACTCTAACCTCTCTCTCTCTCTCTTTTTTTTTTCCTTCCCCTCCCCCCATGGGTTCCTGTTAAGTTCTCCATCACATAAAGGAATGAAGGCTCATATGGTATCTGTCTTTCTCTGTATGAAACTGTTCACTTAGCATATAACACTCTTCAGTTCGTTGCTACCAAGGGAGCCATATTTCATTTTTTTCTCATTGCCACATGGTACTCCATTATTATATAAAGCCACCAGTTTCTTTATCCATTCATCAGTTGATACAATTAATTCTTAAACAGTAATTAGTTGTGAGCTATGTTTTCATTCACTTTTTTCTTTTTTTACCTAATCAGTCTAGTTTGTTACCCTTAAAAATGGGGGGGGAGGAGGGGGAGCCTTATCTGAAGCAACGTCCTTCCTAAAGGGACAATTTTAAAAAATTCTAATTTTCCTTTAAGAATAAAATGTTTTAACTTTTTAGTTTGAAATAATTTCAGACCTACAGAAAAATCGCAAGAATAATAATAGCAGTCCTCATATACTTTTTATTCAGATTCCCTAAATGTTCATCATGTTTGCTTCATTATTCTCTCTATACACATATGTTAATATTTTCTGAAGCATTTGGGTCTAAGTTACCAACATGGTGATCTTTTACCACTAAATACTTGAGTGTGTATTTCCTTAAAAACAAGATTATTCTCTTACCTAACCACAACATAATTAACAAAATCAGGAAATTAACATTAATTATAATACTGATGTCTAATCTGTAGACCTTGCAGCTGACTTAATAATGTGCTATATAGCTAAAAAACAGAATGTAAAAACATAGTGTTGTGTTCATTTCAGGTATACAAAATAGTGATTCAACCGTTCCATACGTTACTTAATGCTCATCAAGATCGTGTACTCTTGGGGCGCCTGGGTGGCGCAGTCGGTTAAGCGTCCGACTTCAGCCAGGTCACGATCTCGTGGTCCGTGGGTTCGAGCCCCGCGTCAGGCTCTGGGCTGATGGCTCAGAGCCTGGAGCCTGTTTCCGATTCTGTGTCTCCCTCTCTCTCTGCCCCTCCCCCGTTCATGCTCTGTCTCTCTCTGTCCCAAAGATAAATAAACGTTGAAAAAAAAAAAAAAAAAAAAAAAAAAAAAAAAAAAAAAAGATAGTGTACTCTTAATCTGCTTTGTCTATTTCAGCCCCTCCCCCCCACCTCCCTTCTGGTAACCATCAGTTTGTTCTCTATAGTTAAGAGTTTGTTTCTTGGTTTGTCTCTCTCTTTTTTGTTTTTTTGTGTTTTTGTTTTGCTTTCGTAAATTCCACACATGAGTGAAGTCCTATGGTAATTGTCTTTCTCTGACTGGCTTATTTCCTTTAGCATTATACTCTCCAGATCCATCCATGTTGTTGCCAAGTGGCAAGATTTCATTCTTTTTATGGCTGAATAATATTCCTTTGTATGTATATGCTACATCTTTTTCCAGTCATCTACTGATGGACACTTGGGCTGCTTCCGTAGTTTATTGTAAATAATGCTGGAATAACCTAGGGGTGCATATATCCCTTCAAATTAGTGTTTTTATAATCTTTGCATAAATACCTCCTGGTGCAATTGCAGGATTGTAGGGTAGTTCTATTTTTGATTTTTCAAGGAACTTGCATGCTGTCTCCCAACAGTGGCTGCACCAGTTTGCATTCCCACCAATAGTGCACAAGGGTTCTTTTTTTTCCACATCCTCGCCAACACCTGTTACTTGAGTTTTTGAGTTTAACCATTCTAAAAGGTGTGAGGTGATATCTCATTGTGGTTTTGACTTGCCTTTGCCTGATAATGAGTGATGCTGAACATCTTTTCATGTGTTTGTTGGCCATCTGGATGTCTTCTTTAGAGAAATGTCTGGGATTATTTGGGGTTTTTTTGGTGTTGGGTTGTATAAGTTCTTTATATAATTGGGTAACCTTTTATCGGATATGTCACTTGAAAATGTCTTCTCCCAATCAGTAGTTTGTCTTTTAGTTTTGTTGGTTGTTTCCTTTGCTGTGCAGAAGCTTTTTATTTTTATGTAGCCCCTAATAGCTTATTTTTGCTTTTGTTTCACTTGCCTCAGGAGACATATCTAGAAAGATACTGTTATGGCCAATGTCAGAAAAAGTACTACCTGTGCTCTTCTAGGATTTTTATGGTTTCAGGTCTCACACTTAGGTCCTTAATCCATTTTGAGTTTTTGTGCACAGTGTTAAGTGGCCCAGTTTCCTTCTTTTGCATGTAGCTGTGCAGTTTTTCCAATACCATTGTGGAAGAGACTGTCTCTTCCCCATTGCATCTTCTTGGCTCCTTTGTCAAAGATTAATTGACAATAACATCGTGGGTTTATTTTTGTGCTTTTTATTCTGTTCTATTGATCTGTGTGTCTGTTTTTGTATAAGTACCATATTGTTTTGATTACTATAGATTTGTAATGTAACTTGAAATCTGGAGTAGCTCCAGTTTTGATTTTCTTTTTCAAGAGTGCTTGGCTGTTCTGGGGCTTTTGTGGTTCCATGCAAATTTTAGGATTATTTTTTCTAGTTCTATGAAAAATGCTATTAGTATTTTGATAGGAATTGCATTAAATATGTAGGTTGCTTTTAACATTTTAACAATATTTGTTCTTCCAATCCATGAACGTGGAATGTCTTTCCACTTCTTTGTGTCCTCTTCAGTTTCTTTCATCAGTGTTTTGTAGTTTTCAGAATATGGGTCCTTCACCTCTTTGCTTAAGTTTATTCCTAGCTATTATTTTTGGTGCAGTTGTAAATGGTATTGTTTTCACAGTTTCTCTTTCTGTTGTTTTCTTATTAGTGTATACAAATGCAACAGATTTTTGTACATTGACTTTATGTTCTGAAACTTTAGTGAATTCATTTTTCAGGTCTAGTAGTTTTTTGGTGGAGTCTTTACAGTTTCTGTATATAGTGTCATGTCATCTGCTGATAGTGAACGTTTGACTTCTTCCTTACCAATTTGAGTACCCTTTATTTCTTTTTGTTGTCTGATTACTGTGGCTAGGACTTCCATTACTATGTTGAATAAAAATAGTGTGAATAGATATTTTGGTCCTGTTCCTGACCTTGGGGGGAAAAAAACTCTCCATTTTTCCCTATTGAGTATAACGTTAGCCGTGGGTTTTCCACATAAAGCCTGTATTATGTTGAGGTATGTTCCCTCTAAACCTACTTTGTTGAGGGTTATTTATCACGAATGGATGTTGTACTTTGTTGACTGCTTTTTGTGCATCTATTGAAATGATGATATGGTTCTTGTCCTTTCTCTCATTGATGTGGTGTATCACATTGATTGATTTGCAAATATTGAGCCACCCTTGCATCCCAGGAATAAATTCCACTTGATTGTGGTGAACGATTTTTTTTAATCGGTTGTTGGATTTGGTTTGCTAGTATTTTGTTGAGGATTTTTGCATCCAAGTTCATCAGAGATACTGGCCTGTAGTTGTCTTTTTTAGTGGTGTCTTTATCTGGTTTTGGTACAGGGTAATGCTGCCCTCATAGAATGAATTTGGAAGTTTTCCTTCCTCTTCTATTTTTTTGGAGTAGTTTGAGAAGAATAGGTAGTAACTCTTCTTGGAATGTTTGGTAGAATTTGCCTGTGAAGCTGTCTGGTCCTGGATTTTTGTTTGTTGGGAGTTTTTTGATCACTGAATTTCCTTATCGGTAATCAGTCTGTTCAAATTTTCTATTGCTGCTTCAGTTTTGGTATGCTACATGTTTCTAGGAATTTATCCATTTCTTCTAGGTTGTCCAATTTGTGGGCATATACTTTTTCATAATATTCTCCTACAATTGCTTGTATTTCTGTGGTGTCAGTTATTTCTCTTTCATCTGTGATTTTGTTTGGATCCTCTCTCCCCCTTCCCCACCTCTCTCTCTGAGTCTGGCTAGAGGATTGTCAATTTTGTTGATCTTTACAAAGAACTGGTTTCATAGATCTGTTCTATTTTTTTTTAATTTTCTGTACCATTTGTGCTCTAATCTTTATTATTTCCTTCCTTTTGCTGGTTTTAAGTTTTGTTATTCTTTTTGTAGCTCCTTTATGTGTAAGGAGATGTTTCTTGCTTCTTGGAGTAGGCCTATATTGCCCTAAACATCCCTCTTAGAACTACTTTTGCTGCACCCCAAAGATTTTGGACTGTTAAATTTTCATTTTCATTTGTACCCGTGAAATTTTTTATTTCTTCTTCAATTTCTTAGTTGACCCATTCATTGTTTGGTAGCATGTTAGTTAATCTTCATGCATTGATGCTCTTTCCAGATTTTTGTTTGTGGTTGACTTCCAGTTTCATAGCATTGTGGTCAGAAAAGATGCATGATATGACTTGATCTTGAATTTGTTGAGGCTTGTTTTATGGCCTAAGAAGTGATCTATTCTGGAAAATGTTCTGTGTGCACTTGCAAAGAATATGTATCTGCTGTTTTAGGTTGGAATGTTCTGAAAATATGTTAAATCTATCTGATCTGGTGTGTCATTCAGAGACACTCTTCCCTTGTTGATTTTCTGGTTGGATGATCTTTCCATTGATGTAAATGGGGTGTTATAGTCCCCTATTATTGTATTTCTATTGATCAGTTTTTTATGTTTGTTATTAACTGTTTTGTGTATTTGGGTGCTCTCAAGTTGGGTGCCTAAATATTTACGGTTGTTGTATCTTCTTGTTGGATTCTCCCCTTCATTATTATATAGTGTTGTTCTTTGTCCCTTGTTACAGTCTTGTTTTAAAATCTATTTTGTCCAGTATAAGTATTGCTACTTTGGCTTTCTTTGACATCCATTTGCATGATACCTGTTTCTTCATCACCTCACTTTCAATCTGCAGGTGCTTTTAGGTCTGAAATGAGTCTCTTGTAGGTAGCATATTAGATGAGTCTTATTTTTTTTACCCACACTGTCACCCGATGTCTTTGGATGAGAGCATCTAGTCCATTTACCTTCAAAGTAGTTATTGATACATATTTATTACCAAGTTGTTACTTGCTTTGTGATTGTTTTGTAGTTTTTCTCTACTCCTTCTCTTGCTCTCTTTCATAGTGTTTTGGCTTTCTTTAGTGATATACTTGCATTCCTTTGTCTTTATTCTTTGCATATCTATTGCTGGTTTTTGATTTGTGGTTACCATTAGGTTTGTACATAACATCTTCTGCATAGCAGTCTATGTTAAGTTGATGGTCGTTTAAGTTTGAACATATTCTTTCTTCCTTTCTGCCTGACATTTTAGGTATATGGCGTCATTTTTATTTTGTGAATCTCTTGACTGATATTTACATATATATTTATTTTTACTGCTTTTGTGTTTCCTACTTTTTATAATAAGTCTTATAGTCTTCCTTGCCACTCAAAGAGTCCCCTTTAACATTTCTTGTATGGCTAGTGGAGTGGTCATAAACTCCTTTAGTTTTTGTTTGAGAAACTCTTTGTATTTTCTTGTATACTGAATGAGAGCCTTGCTGGATATTCTTGGCTGCACAGTTTTTCTTCTTAGCACTTTGAATGTATCATGCCATTCCCTTCTGGCCTGCAAATTTTCTGCTGAAAAATCAGCTGATATCTTTATAGGGTTTCCCCTTGTATGTAACTTGTCTTCTTTTCTCTTGGTGCTTTTAATTTTTTTCTTCATCACTACTTTTTGTCACTTTAAGTACTCTGTGTCTCGGTGTGGACATCCTTGGGTTGATTTTGTTGGGGGATCTATATGCCTCCTGGATCTTGATATCTGTTTTCTTCCCCACATTCAGGAAGTTTTTAGCTATTATTTCTTCAGATAAAATGTTTGCCCTCTTTTTCTACTTCTTATGGGATCCCTGTAATGTGAATGTTATTATGCTTGGTGGAGTCCCTGAGTTCCCGAAGTCTGTCGGTTCTCATTCTGTGTAATTTTTTTCTCACACCTACTGAGCTTGATTACTTTCCATAATTGTGGCTTCTGGGTCATTAATGCATTCATCTGTTTCATCTAGCCTGCTATTTATTCCAGTTAGTGTGTTTTTAATTTCATTTATTGTGTTCATCTCTGATTTATTCTTTTTTATCTCTGTGTTAAGGGTCTCACTGATGTTTTCCGCTCTTTTCTCAAGTCCTGTGAGTATGTTTATGCTCATTATTTTAAATTTTCTATCACTCATATTCTATTCTTTTCTCTTTGGTCTCTTGCTGTGCTTTTGTCTTGTTCTTTCATTTGGGACATGTTCCTTTGTCTCCTCGTTTTGTCTAATTCTATGGATCTGTTTCTGTCTGTTGGGGAAAGTCTGCTACATCTCCTCCTCTTGACAGTAATGGCTTTATGAGGAGGAGGTCCTATAGTGCCCTGCAGTGCAATGTCTCCTGTTCTCCACGACCTTATACTTTAGGGAATGTCTCCTATGTGTGTTGCAAATGCCCTGCTCCTGTGCCTTGGCCACTTTTTTCCTTTAGTCCGGTCGTCTGCAGAGGCTCTCTTAGCCCATTGTGGGCCGTATTCGGTCCCAGACCTGTGCCGCACATTTTCACAAGGTGTGTGCTGCTCTGTTTGTGAGATGAAACCTGTTGCCTGCACTGGGGGAATGGAGGGTGTGTGGGTGGGGCACCAGTTGTAACAGGATCTGCCATGAGCTTCTGCAGAGCCCATGCTGCTGGGACCTATGCCCTGCAAAAACCCATGGGTCAGGAGAAGCTGTGTTGCTGATGTGATGTTTACATTGGTCTTGTGGGGGAGGTGATTCGCAGCCAGGACTGAGGAAAATCTGTTGAAAAGGGCAGATCGGCCAGGCGTGCATGGGTGGGGCTTGCTGTGAGCAATTTAGGTAGGGAGTGTTGTGCAGCACTGGTTCCTGCCGGTGCCTGTGTGTTTCTGCTGGGGGCAGGGAGTGGGGATTGTGGAAGGGGGGTGTGGGGGAAGGAGGGAAATAACACCTGCCTCTTCCTTTGTACCTGGAAGGGTCTCCCAGTGATCCCTGCCTCTCTGGACTTGCTCTGTGATTAGTAAATAAATCTCAGTCCCATGTGCCCTGGGCATTTTTCAAACGGCTGCTTCTAGGCTGTATCTACCTGGGCCGTTTGTCATGCTATCATTTTAAGGGCAGGAACTCTGCTTCCTAATGCCCTTCAGGCTCTCCCACACCAGAGCTGCTGATTCTTAAAATTCCAGGCTTCAAGTCCTGCTGGTTGTAGGAACTCTTGTAATTTGGACCCCCTGGCTTGCAGAGTCCAATGTTAACTGGGATTGGTCTTCCCTGTGCAGGCTCCCTGGTGTGATCATCTATTTCTCCCCCTCTCCGTGCCCCCCGCTCAGAGAAGAGTGAGATGCGCCCTCTTCTCTTCCTTAGTTGTGGAGTTTGTTCTGCCACTCTTTGGGTTGTTTTCTGGGTTATTTGTGCTGAGGTGAGTGTTACCTAGTTGTATCCCTGGGACGAGGTGAGACCAGGGTCGTCGTCCTCCAACATCTTTCCAGCCTCAATCCCAGCCACATTTATTTCATGCTTGATTTTAGTCATTAGTTTTACATTTATCATTACTTCTAATAATTCTCTTTTGTGATTGTTATATATTATCTGTGACAGTGATCTGTGATGCCTACCCCAATATTTCTAAAAGCCTTGTTATTAAGATTTGCTTAAGTCAAGTTACTGCATTTAGCATCAAACCTTTAAAAAAGCTGCTGAAGATTTTGATTTTAGCACGTTATACTACACTAGTTAGAGGACACACTGTAGCCAGCAGTCACTTTTGGTTAATATTTATTCCGTATTTTAAATTCAGGGTCTGTGGCTGTTAGGTTTGACTTGAGTTTTATAGTCTTCTCTCTTTTGCCTTCTGTTAGATGTCCTAGGAAGCACTGAAATGATAAAATACTGGCAGCACGGAACAATTTAATTGATTAATCTTTTTATTGATAAGGGAAATATCTCTTATCATCATTACTATTATATACATTCTTCCACCTGACAGGAAGATATTTATTCTGAATATTTGGTTAAGTTTGCCTGTGTTAAAATTTATCATGATACATAAAAAAATTTTAAGAGGTAATTTTCTATACCATAGATCCAGATGTTGAAAATCAATCAGTCCCCTGAATTGATCAGAGTTACCAACCTGTGATTTTCTTTTTCAGTATGGTTTTTGTTTTAAAACTGTGTTTGATAAACCAGCTGTAATGATTTCTAGATTTATTTATTAAAGCCTAAAACTAATTACTGGCTTTGTAGGAAAGTGAGTCAAATTGGATCCACATGCAGATCTTCTGTTAGTAAACCCTGGTTACCTAGATTGATAAGCCCTAGGTTAATCCTGTGGACCAAAGAACTGACTCTTTTAGTATTAATCCCAAACTGCCTTCACTATAAATGTCAATTTAGAGCAGAACTTAAGATTGAGCCTAAGATATTTCAAATAACTGAAAATTTTTAAAGCTTCTGTTTCTGTTGTAAGAAAGTTTATGGAAAAGTGATTTTTGTCAGGGTTTTTTAACCTAAAAATTATGTAAACTATTAGATACTTCATTGAGAATTTAAATTATAGCTAATTTTGACACTCTTATTTTGTATATGTCATTTGGTTTGCTATACTATGATTTACAAGTTTGTAAATTGGTATACCTCTTTACGATTTATCTTAAAGAGGTAATATGAAAACAGATTTTGAATGAATGTATATTTTCTCATCATGGAATAAAATAAAATACCCTTTATTTGAGCAATGTCATTATTTGTGAAGAAATCTCAAAAAAAAAAAAAAAAGCGATGGTCATTTTTTAAATTGCTGTTGTTGTTCTTTTAAGAGTAAAATTCCAGTCGGAATTAAAGCCGGGAGTTCTAATAAGGTGAGTCCCTTTCCTTGAGTATTTCTGCTTTATGTTATGAAATTTACCATTTACTGCTTGACAGTAGTTACAGAAGGAGAAATGTACTGTGGTTAGTTGGGAGTGGGCACCTTTTGCCCCAGAATCCCATATTTCCAATTTTTTCAGCAACAGAGAGCTTGTGTATTTTTTTTTACAGTTAAATTATATACTTTTTTTTTCTTTTTTTTAAGATATTTCAATTCTGTTTTTGGAACCTCTAGAAGAACTACAGTAGTGTAATGTAACTACAGTGTCAGATGGCCTACTCGACAGGTGTTTTATCATGCATGTATTTTTGGTTTTCGGTTTCAACTAGTCAACCTGTCATATTCAGGATTATATTGTATAAACAGCTATTAAGGTATTAGGAGCATAGTACTTTTCAACGGCATTAGAATACTCCTTTATTAAAGATTACCCTCCCCCCTTTTTTTACCCTTTCCCTTTTAAATTAAAAAAAATTTTTTTTTAATGTTTATTCTCGAGAGAGAGAGACAGAGTGTGAGTAGGGGAGGGTCAGAGAGAGAGAGGGAGACACAGAATCCGAAGCAGACTCCAGGCTCTGAGCTATCAGCACAGAGCCTGATGCAAGGCTCGAACTCCAAACTGTGAAGTCATGACCTGAGCTGAAGTCAGACCCTTAACTGATGGAGCCACCCAGGCGCCCTTACCCTTGCCCTTTTAGAAGCATGCCACAATTTACTTAGCCGTGCATGTTTTTATGTAACAGTTTACTTCTAGTTTTTCACTATTATGTGTACATAGTAAAGATCATCATACCCTCTCTCTCCCTGTTCCCTCTCTCCATTTTCTTTTTGCATTTTCTCTTTGCATTTTCTCCCCTGTGTGGTCTTTTGTTTGTGTTCACTCTCTTTAATTTATTTTTGTTTCAGCTCTGAACTAAATACACAGTGTTAGAGACATTTGAAATCTCTTCTGGACTCCTTCCCAATCCCATTCTGTTTCCTCCGTCCCCAGAGATAGCCACTTTTCTGAAACTTACGTGTGTCCTTCTGTGTTACTTAACTTTTCTACTTCTAATGCACATGTAGCCACAAGTGACATATAGATCTTTTTATTTTTTATTATTTTCTTAAACATTTGTTTATTATTGAGAGAGAGAGACAGAGCATGAGCATGGGAGGAGCAGAGGAGCACAGTGAATCAAAGCAGGCTCCAGGATCAGCTCAAGCACAGAGCTCGGACGGTGGCCAAACTCACAAACTGTGAGATCATGACCTGAGCTGAAGTCGGACGCTTAACCGACTGAGCCACCCAGGCGCCCAACATATAGATCTTTTAATATGAAGTTTAAACATTAAGATTATGCTTTTTTATTTCTTCAGGTTAAAAACATTTTTTCAGTTACCTTTACTCCACATTATGCTTTTGTCTCTGATGTAGCTTTGTTAATTTTAATAGGTAGTATTCTATTTTTTTTCAATGTTTTTTTCAATTTTTTTTTTTTTTTTTTTTTGAGACAGAGAGAAGCATGAGCAGGGAGGGGCAGAGAGGAGAGGAACATGAATTACAGCAGGCTCTAGGCTCTGAGCTGTCAGCACAGAGCCCGACGTGGGGCTCAAACTCACGGACTGTGAGATCATGACCTGAGCTCAAGTCGGACGCTTGACCGACTGAGCCACCCACACGCCCCAATAGTTGCATAGTATTCAATGGTATGATTGTGTCATTGATTAGCTCCTCCTCTGTTGATGGACATTTCACTTGTGTTGACTTTTTTGCTATTACATACAGTGAGGCACTAGCATTTCTGTCCTTTGTCTCATTGTACATATGTAAGAGTTTTCCTAGGTCTGTATTTAGAAGTAAGGTTGCTGGGGCATCCGTTATGCTGTCCCAACATGAGATAGTACCTAATACCTTTCTAAAGTGGTTGTACCTTGTTTTTAGTTTTGTTTTTAAATGTTGCTCTGGATATGGTTTCAGTTTTAAGACTGCTGGTTCAAGGATATTATGCATTTTTGCAGCTCCAGATAAATATTGTCAAATTACTTTCCCAAGACGGTTTTCTCAGTTTAGGTCATCACCAACATACCAGCACTAATTGTTTTTAATGTCTTAGCTTAGTTGGTGGAAATTTGTGATACATTTTGATTTGTATTTCTTACATATGTGAGAGATTTTGATGTATCTATGTCATCACTGTCAGATTGCCAGTCGTACTTGAGATTATTACTAAACTTCCTATGAACTTCCTTTCAGTACTCAAAAGTGGCAAACAGCACCAAAGAATTAGAAGATTGTGAACAAGCTAATAAACTGGGAGCAATTAACAGCACATTAAGGCAAGTTTATTTTAGGAGTGTTAAAAAATATTCTCTTGTTTAGTATATTTATATCAGAAATCTTCTATTTGTGATTTTGCTTCAAGTAATTCTTAAAAGGAAGAAGTTATTTTTATCTTAAATTCCATGATTGCTTTGCTTCCTCCCGTTAGCTGATTTGTTCTTAAATTTCTGGAATGTATGATCAATAGTGACTTTATTAAAAAGTAAAAATTTAGAAGATTGCTCAACTAGCAGGGCTTATGGGTCTATTTTTCCTGGTTATTATAGGAAAAGGAACTTGAACCTCTAAGTGTTTTATAAATAGTAATTCAATCTGTAGGTTACATTTTGAATGGGAAAAGTTATTACCATAACTGTTAAGTTTCGTAGATTCTTTTTCCTATTGACTTTTCCTTATTGTAATAAAAACCTGCTTGGGAAGGCCAGTGTAATTGTGAGTGGTCTCAGATTATGCACTATGAAATGATTGTATCTATAGTTGAATCTGGGGAATGGAGTATCATTGAACTTCTTTTGAATTTCCCTTTTTGTTTAGGCTGGCATCTATGTACTATAACTGTTAAAGACTTAATAAAGTCAGCAGTTTTATTATCTATTGAAGAACAATTCTATAGAAAACTAGAGAAGATAATATAATAAATACTCCCGTGTCCTTCACTCCAGATGAATAGTTGTTAACTTTTTCTGCCATGTCCTCTCTGGCCTATTCCCCAATCCTGTTTTCTTTCCTTTTGCCTTAGGAGGAGCTACTCTCATGAATTTGCTGTATACCCACTATGTTTTTCTTTTTATCATATATATCATCTTTATTTCGTGTATGATTTTACTTTTCCCTTATATAAAATAATACTGTACTTAACAGACTTCAACTTTATTTTTATACTGTACATTTTGCTTTTCTAGATCTGTCTCATTTTTTTAACTGATGAGTGTTTTTTACCTTATGAATATATCATATTTTACTTCTCTGTTCCCGTATTGATAAACACTTGAATTGTTCAAATTTTTACTTCTATAAGTTATGCCACCTTGCGCATCCTTGAGAAATTTTTTTTGGTGTACGCTAGGAAATTTGTCCTACGCTAGAAAAACTGCTGGATCTTCCTGTTGCCCAGGTGCGCCTATTCGTGTTACTGCCTGATGGCTTTCCAGAATACTCGTGTGGTTACATACTGCCTCCGGGACTGAGAACTTGTTTTGTTCTTCACATCCTTGCCAAAAATGGATAATGTTTGACTGTAAAGTAGTACCTCATTTTTGTTTATATTTTGTTACTAGTGAGTTTGAGCATTTTTTTGATCTGTGTATTGAACATTTATGTTTTTTATTCATTCGGTAAATGAATGCCTGCAATATGCCAGTCAGTGTTCTAGAATATTAGGCATTTAGCACTGTACATGGCAAATTCTTTTTCTCAGGAAACTTAATCCTAGTTGGAGATATGCAGTAACTGAGTAAAATGTATCAGAAGTAAGTAAAATGATGATGAGTGCTTGGGAGAAAAAGAAAACTGAGAAGAATGATAGAGAGCTAAGAGTGGCAGGGTGGGGAGGGGAGGGAGTTGCACTGTTTCCAATGGGTTGGTGAGAGAAGGCCACAGTGATAATGGGACATTTGAACAAAATGCCCATGAAGACATAAGTCCTGTTATGGCTGCCTGGGGCATGAGTGTTCCAGGCACGTGTAATTGTTAGTAAAAAGAACCTGTGGCAGAAGCACGCCTAGATTATTTGAGGAACCACAGAAAGTCCAGTGTTGCTGGAATACAGTGGTCACAAAATCCTAGGGGTGGACGTAGGAGTAGGGTGGGGTGGAGATCTTGTAGAGCCTTGAAGACGATTACGAATACTGCTTTGAGGCTAAGTGGAATGAAAAGTCACTGGAGGATTTTGAGAGAAGGTGTTGAGGGAGGCAGGTGTTCCTGTGGAAGCCTTGTTATGTGATTATTGTAGTGATCCAGTTAAGATATGGTGGTGGTTTAATTTAGACTAGGGCAATGGCAGTGGGAATGATGACAAGTGATCAGATTCTGGATGGATTTTGAAGATGGAGCGGACAGGGTTTGCTGTGGGATTTGATGTGAGGTTTGAAAAAAGATAGGAACTGTGAATGACTACAAGATTTGGAACTAGAAAAATGGAGTTGCCATTTACTGAACTGGGATACCTACAGGAGGAACAAGTTTGGTGGAAAATCACAGTTCAACCTTGGACCTGTTAAGTTTGAGCTGCCTATAAGACATCCAGTTGGAGATGTCAAGCAGGCAGTTGGATATACAAGTCTCAGTTTCAGGGGAAGGAGAAAATGTGGGAGTCATCCAGTAAATATATGTTATTTAAAAACTATAAACCTGAATAAGATTACCCAGGAGAGAATATAACTAGAGAAGTCATCAAAGGATTGGGCCTTAAGTCATTCTAAGATTTTAAGGTAAAGCCCCTGTTCATATTCTTTGCTGTTGTTTCTCCATGGGGGGGGAGGGGGCAGGGTAAAGATGGAGTAGGTGTGCATTTCTAGATCATCATTATTAATTTGTAGGCATTCTTCATATAATATGAGACAATGGCTTGTCTTTTAATTTTGCTTACAGATATTTTGTTGAATAGCAGTTATTAATTTTTTAAACTTTTAAATTCCAGTGTAACTCACATATAATAAAGTGTATAAATCTTAAACGTAAAGGTCAGTTCAATTTTACAGAGTAAATCAACTCTGCAGCAACTATCCAGAATAATGCACTCGATACCCTGAAGATTGCCACGTGGGCTTTCCTAGTCATTACCACTGTCCAGAGTTAACCATGATTTTGAATTATATTAGCAGAGATTGGTTTTGCCTGTTTATATAAATGAACTATTAAGGAATGTATTTTTTTTTGTATCTGGCTTATTTTATTAAACATCACATCTGTGAGAGTCATTCATGTTCTTAAGGTTAGTAGCATTTAATTCTCTTGTCATTGGTATAATATTCCATAGTTAAGACTGCACCAAAATGTTTCCATCCAACTATCATTGATAGCTGGGGTTTTTCACTTTGCAGCCATTACAAAAAAAAAAAAAAATTTGGTGGATATTTGGTGGTGTTTTTGGTATGCATTTCTGTGTAGAATATACCTACAAGTGGAATTAAGTAATACTGGCACGTGGTCTTCCAAAATGACCACTAAAATACATTGCCACTAGTAGTATACGAGATTTCCTCATTCCACGTCTCCAACAATTGGTCTGTAATTTTTTAAACAGCTTTATTGAAGTTTAATTGACATGCAGTGTATTGCACCTACTTGAAATATACTGTTTGATGTTTTGACAAGTGTGCACTCATGAAAATCTGCATTATCAAGATAGTTGTCCTACCCACCACCCTGAAAAATTCTCTCATGGCCTTTGGAAAGGCCTTCATTCCATTCAAAGTGCGTTTCCCACTTTGAAGGCTCCTGCTTTAACACACAGCACCATCTTGACAGGAAGCCCTGGTTTAAGCCCAGGAAATTCTTATAGAAGTAGCTTGGCATCCATCTTCAAACTGACTTTTAGAGAAGCTGGGCAAGGTTCTTTTTTTTTTTTTTTTTTTTTACATTTTATTTATTTTTGAGAGAGAGAGCGAGCACAAGTGGGGGAGGGACAGAGAGAGAGGAAGACCCAGAATCTGAAGCAGGCTCCAGGCTCTGGGCTGTCAGCACAGAGCCTGATGCAGGGCTCGAACCCACAAACCATGAGATCATGACCTGAGCCAAAGTTGGATGCTTAACCGACTGAGCCACCCAGGTACCCCTGGATGAGGTTCCTTCTAACTCATTTGTAAAGCAAACTGGGCCAGCTCTGTTAGCATTAGGTTAGTGTTGCCTAGTGTTGCTAAGTTAGTTAGCATTAGGTTTTCTGTTGCTGTGGCTTTCAGGCAGGGTTTAGGATGAAACAACAAAGTGTCATCAAATAAGTATGCTCAAAGAAAAAAGTTTGTCTTTCTAAGTCAGATTGTTAACAAGAAAATTGGAATTTATGTCACAGTGGTCTTGTTCTTGACTATTTTCAATGGAAGATGTATCTAATTAAACCTAACGATAGTTATTTTAGCTGTAACTAGAACTTAGACATTCTCGTTTTATGGAATTATATGTTTCAGCTGAGTCAACTAAGATATGAGTATTTCCATTAACTTTTATTATTAAGTTAACTCAGTATTCCCACAATGAAAAAAAAAATCCCACAGTGAATTGAAAACATTTATTGATAAAGTTGGGGTAGTCCAGTCAGTCAGCCTTATATACTTCTCGTAGTGGTTATGTAATGTAGTAGTTTTTCAAATACAAAATAAATTCTTGGCTATGAAAGTAACACATTTAGGAACTACCTGATTTAAACTTAGTACACAAATAATTTTTTTTTAATCTTTTTTTCCCCCTATTGTGTAGTGAATAAAGAAGAGTAATAATAGTTCTCTTATAGATGTTGCCAGTCTGGGTTTAAGACAGAAAAGGTCTGAACATAAGTTAAAGTAAATGTAGGTCCAAGTTTATTTGAGAGACTGTGATTGTTCCTTTATCAGTTCTCCAAGTAGAGATCTTGATCATAGATTTTGTTAAATGTGAGGTAGTATGTAAAATGAATGATATGTCCTGATTAAAAATGATATTGGTGTTACCAGTGAATATCACATTGGAAGGGACATCCTGGAAATGCAGCTTTTGGTGTTTTTGTCCTATAAATAACAGAAACAAGTTAAAAGAATTATGAAGGTAAATTCAATTCCTGCTTTAGAAAAAAATACCACAATTTCTAAGTTAGGTGAAAAGGCTAGCTTAAATTTTGTGTTGAACTAAATCTCATATATATTTGTAAATTTTCTAGTTAAAGTAATTATCGCAGTAGGGCTAATAATAGCTTTAGTATGAATAGAAATCCTTCACGGGAGAGTTAATATCTGTGTTTTTCATAAAACTTGCTATCATTCCTTCATCTGACCACTAATTGAATTTGTGACACTATCTAAATTAAAGATGTGACCTCGGGTTATCTGTTTTCAGTTATACAAGATGCAGTGTAAACATTTTCAACTCCAGATTTAATCATTTTTTTTTTCTTTCTTATTCCCTCCTTCCCTAGTAATCAAAGCAAAGAAGCCTTCATTGACTGGGCAAGATATGATGATTCACAGGATCACTTTTGTGAACTTGATGGTAATAAAATAAACTATTGTAATTAAATTCTGTTCACTCTAATCCTTTTATAAGAACTTGAAGTCAATGAAAATATACTCAGAATTAGAACTTGAACACACTGGATGTTGCTGTGTGGACCTTACTATTGTTCATAATGGCATTTATTGAGAGCTTATGTTCCAGACCCTGTGCTCAGTGCTTGAAGTGCGTTATTTTTCATCTTTGCAGTTACTTTATTTTTAATTTTTTTTTCATGTTTATTTTTGAGAGAGAGAGAGAGAGAGCGCGCGCGCAAGTGGGGGAGGGGCAGAGAGAGAGAGAGAGACACAGAATCCGAAGCAGGCTCCAGGCTCCGAGTTGTCAGCATAGAACCTGATGTGGGGCTCAAAGTCATGAGCTGTGAGATCACGACCTGAACCAAAGTCAGTGCATATCCGACTGAGCCACCGAGGGGCCCCTTTGCAGTTACTTTAATAAGTATCTGTTATTTCATATCCAAGGAAATGGAGTCTCAAAAAGACTGGCTTAGCCAGGATCACACAGTAGCAAGAGGCTGAGATGGGATTCGATCCCAGATCTGAATCCCATATTTTTTTCATCATGACATACCATCTCCTGTGGACCTCTATTTCAAGCCACTTAGTTTAGGTCTGTGAACATATAAACATGTTCACAATGGAATTTTCTGGAGGTCTCAACAAACTAACATAAAGATACCCTGCAGTATTGGGGAGGACTCTAATTTGACTTCCCCATAGCCCTCTTGCCAAGAGTCTGCAGAATGGTACAAAGAGAGGGCACTATTTACCAATAACTACCATGACTCCTATGGCAGAAGGGAATTGGAGTGACTCAGAATTTTTTCTGAGGAGAATATTTCCAAGAGTTTTGTGCTGAGTAGGCTTAAATCATTCATTTGGCCTCTCTTTACTTTTTACCTTTATATTGTGGGTAGTGGAAAAGAATTTGGGATAAAGCCTGCCCATTTGGAGATAGCAGAAGTTCCTCTGAATTCTTAAAGCATATAGAGTGGTCATACTGCTTTCTAGAGGTTTTTGGAAGATTCGTCTGTAGAACTGTGCTGTGAATCCAGTCTGTAATGGAGTAAGTTACAGTGAGCTGCTACAGTAGTATGGGAAATTGAGACAAAGCCAGGAAGTGGAACGTTCTCACCATGGTTTATATGGTTTCAGCAAGGACATTTTTAAGAGATCTGAAAAAAGTGTCTTTGGGTGTCATAACTCCTGTTACGATATTTAGAATCGCCAAAGGTTTCATCGAAGCAAGCCGCTGTACCTAGGTTAAGAATTAACATCACTGCTTACTCTCATTTGCTCTTGGGTCATCATTCTAATTACATTTAACGTTCAACACTCACGGTCACTTCCTGCCGACTTATTTTACCTGTTCGTTATTAAAATAAAAAATTTTCAGTAGTGCTTAGTTGACAGGTTTTTTACATTAAAAATCATTTCTGTGAATATCTCTCTCAGTAAATGATAGCAATATATATTTCTCTTATGGGTATTTAGTAAACAATACTACTCATTGGCAGGGATCGCCTGATATGATTAAATTGATGTACTCAATTACCTCATCAATATAAATAGTATTAACTAATTTTTTGACATTAGCTCCTTCTATTGTAAAAATGGAAGAAGTGTCCTAAAAGAATTTACATCGAATCATCCCTTAAGATTTTTAGGATGGTATAATTAAAATAATTAGTGGTGTTTCTATTTTGTGTAGTCCTTAAACATGTAAACCGTTCTGCTAGTTGGATTACCACTGCTCTTCCGGGTAGTAATGTTCGTGTGTCTCCCAGTGATTTATACGTACAATTTTTAGTAAAAGGTGAAAGATGTATACAATCTGAAGAGAAACCAGAGTATTATATGTACAATTTTTAAAAGCCCATCAGAGTAGCTTTAGAGTCACTGTTGAGTAATTTCAGTTACACTCACTGGATCAAAACAACAAATCTGAAGAATAGTCACCCCGTTTACTGGAATGTGTTTATACGCCCGTGTGCTTGGCTGCTTTGTTGTTGTTCTGTGTTTGGAAAGGAAGATGATCTTCATAGATCAAACGGTAGGTTTTTAAATAATTTAGCGGGTTAAGGTAAGCTGCTTTCCCTGCTCATTTTGTCGTCGTCGTGGCTGTCTTTATGCATGGCTGGCTGCTGCTTTTGCTTCAGGTTTCTGCTCACATGTCACCTCATCAGAGAAGCCTCCTGTCACCTCCCTATATGAAATGGTAACCACTGCCCCTCTCTGTCTGCACTGCTGCCTGCTCTCAGACCACTGAGAACTACCTGAGCGTGCGTGGTGGGTTGTTTAGGTTATCTGCTTGTTGTCTGTCTTCTCCAGCTACAGTGAGAGCTCCTCTGGTCCACTACCACACTCGTGCCCAGAACCGTGCCTGGACGTGGCATATGCCACCCTAGTGCCTAGAACAGTGCCTGGATGTGATATATGCCACCCTAGTTGTTTATGTGGTATATGCCACCCTTGTGCCCAGAACAGTGCCTGGACGTGATACATGCTCAATATATATTTGCTGCATGACATTGTTGGTTCAGATATAATTGAAATAGTGTGATTTTTACTTTTATTTTTTCCATTATAACATTAATTTAAACATAACGTAAATTTAAAGTGTTTAAAACAGTAGTTTCTGAATCTGGCTGTGTATCAAAATTATTTGGGGACTTTGTGAACTGTAGGTTCTCCTCAACTGAGTATACTTTAACAGTGCATTACTAGCAATCTGGGATCAAGCTGGTGATGGAGGGTTGTAGGCTCAATCCTGAGTATACAACAGGACTTTTTATCCGTGTCCATACGCAGAAAGCCTGTGCACTAAGTTGGGGTACCAGCACTGGTGTGTTTGTAGGGGGAATGCGACCTATGTATGCTGCCCCCCACCACCCATCTAGATGTCACAAAGTTCTTGCCAGTATGGGTCAGGGGTGGACAAACGTTTTCTTCTGTAAATGGACAGATGGTAAGTACTTTAGACTTTATGGACCATATGGCTTCTATTACAGCCACTCAGCTCTGCCATAATAGTGTGAGACAGCAAATGAACATGGCTTGTGTTCCCATAAAACTTTCCTTACAAAAAGTACACACTAGACTAGATGTGGCCTTTGGGTTGTAGTTTGCTAACCCCATTCTGTAGGTTAATAAGACCCACTTTTTCATCGTTTGAAAAAGTAATAAAATTATTAAAACCACTTTTGATTTAATTTAAGGGAACATACATTAAGAACATTGAGGTGCAAGTTTTTTAAATTTTTTTTTTTTTTCAACGTTTATTTATTTTTGGGACAGAGAGAGACAGAGCATGAACGGGGGAGGGGCAGAGAGAGGGAGACACAGAATCGGAAACAGGCTCCAGGCTCTGAGCCATCAGCCCAGAGCCCGACGCGGGGCTCGAACTCACGGACCGCGAGATCGTGACCTGGCTGAAGTCGGACGCTTAACCGACTGCGCCACCCAGGCGCCCCGAGGTGCAAGTTTTAAATTAAACGTTGATATAATTGACTTTTGTGATTTGTCACTGCCTTAGCTTACATTTTTTTTTAAGTTTATTTTTCAGAGAGAGAGAGAGGGTGCATGAGCAGGGGAGGGCCAGAGAGAGGGGAGAGAGAGAATCCCAAGCAGGTTCTGCACTGTCAGCCCGGAGCCCGACACAGAGCTCCATCTCCCAAACCGTGAGATCATGACCTGAGCCAAAATCAAGAGCCAGACACTCAACTGACGGAGCCACACAGGCGCCCAAAATTACATTTTAAATCCTTGTACTTTAATATCTGAATCTGTTTGTTTTTCCTTATTGGTTGGTTAGTTGCTTTTGTTGGGTGAAGGGGTTGATAGCCGTCCATTGTGTGCATTTGTAGGTGAGCCTACAAATGTGTAGGCTTACATGCACACACACATTCTTTATACATGTGTACATACGTATATGTCCATGCATATAGGTGTTTATGATATGTTTAATATTGTAAAGCTTATGTAAAATCAATTTTGCAAATGAGTTTAATTGTGAACAACTCAAAGAAATTAAAAATCTGTAACAGAAGCTAGTGAGTTGTAAAGCTTTTGTTTGAACTTTCCTATAAAAGTCACACTTTGATTCAGTTCATAATTTGAATCTTTTTGTAATGAAGATTTTTTAAATTACTGTTTTTAAATCTTGAATCAATCCATGTCCATGGGCAGTTTCTGTTCATCCATCTGTAAATTACCTATTTTCTCTATCTTAGCTTGTATAGTGGAATGTCTATATAATGTTAGGGCTAGAAATAGAGGCAGTATTCTTCATGTTTCTGTTGTCTGTAAGTTAGATATAACTCATTTAGTAATGACAAGTTGTAATTATCTTTGTATTCTTCCTACTTCCTTACAAAAGCCAAGTAGTTCTTGGAAGGTGTGCATCAGGATTCCATTTTACTCTTAATGGTTATGGGTAATCTCTGTCTGTGGTCACTGAATGGTTAATGAATATTGTTAGGTAATGAAAAGAAGAGGGGCCGTATTTTAATGACTGTGTTTGGCCACTGTTTTAAGTCAGTGCCTGTATACCATCGATTTGATCTCATGACACCAAAAGGGAGGAAACATACAAATAAAGGAATACATCTGGGCCAACATATATAGCACTCCAGCTTACATGCATTATGAATCATACATTTGGGAAGCGTGGTCAGTATAATTTTTCTATTTCTAGTACAATATATATTTAGTAAAATAAAAAAAAAATGGTTGCAAGCATGTGTGTAGGTGGGTGTATGCATAGGGAAGAAATAAAATACTAGAACAAGTTATAGTCTGGTCATTTCGATCCTGGGTGGTTAAAACTTAAGAATAACGAATGCCTCTAAGAAGGGGAGGTGCATTCCATTACTGAAGAGAGTATCGAGTATCGGAAGGAAAGGGAGGAGTTGTTTTTTCCTCTCTCTCAAGTGTAAGTTACCCTGGGTCAAGTATAGTCACAAGTGTGCTAACCATTCTACCATTCACATTGGAGATTACCTGAAAAGCTGGCCTTTCTCTAACCTTTGGGTAGTTCTGCTTGTGTTATAATGTGAAATTTCAGATAACTGGTGACATAGAGGTGGTTTTCATGACTTGTTTCTTGTTCAGATGAGCGATCCCCAGCTGCTCAGTATGTCGACCTGTTGCTGAACCCAGAGCGTTACACTGGCTACAAAGGGCCCTCTGCATGGAGAGTGTGGAACAGCATCTACGAAGAAAACTGTTTCAAGTAACTGGAGGGAAAACGGCTGAAGGGAGGATGGAGTAAGGGGGGCATGGTTCTGCAGGGAAAACATTACATACAAAAATCAAACCGTTTTATGACTGAGTTTCGCACTTGCTTTTTCAGGCCTCGATCCGTTTATCGTCCCTTAAACCCTCTGGCGCCTAGCCGAGGTGGGTGTTTCATACATTTTCATGCTTTCAGAGATTATTTACAAAGTGTCTTTGTAACTAAACAAATTTTGAGTGAATTTTCAACTATTTTATGTTTTTCTTAATGTGAATGGTCAGAAGTATAAGATTAATTCGTGGGGCGCCTGGGTGGCTCAGTCGACTAAGCATCCAGCTCTTGATCTCAGCTCAGGTCATGATCTCACAGTTTGTGGGATTGAGCTCCACATCGGGCTCCTCACTGACAGTGCTGAGCCTGCTTGGTTCCCCTGTCTCCCTCCCTGTCTCTGCTCCTCCCCTGCCCCTTTCTCTCTCTCTCTCTCAAAATGAATAAACATTTGGAAAAAAGTATAAGATTAGTTCATAATTGAGTCTCAAGGTTTCTATGTGTTTTATTTAATTACTGACATTTATTGAGTGTCTGATCTGTGCCAGGCCCTAACGTAGGAGTTCTAGGTGAAATAAATCAGAATATATGAGTAATGCTTATATATCAGAGGTTTCCTGGGGAACTCTTAAAAATCTGGATTTCCAGGCCCTATCCTCTACCAACTTAAGTCAGAATCTTTGGGATTAGCCACAGGTATTGTATTGTTTTGTTTTGTTTTGTTTTAATTGTCCAGGTGATTCCAATATGCAGGCAAGTTTGAGAACCAGTGGCTTATAACGTGCTTCTCAGACTTCAGGTGTGCGTATGAAGTACCTAAGGGCCTTGTTGAAATACAGGCTCTGATTCTGTAGGTCTTGGGTAAGGCCCAAGATTCTAACAAGCTCCCAGGTGATGCCTAGGGTTCTTGCTGATCCATGTAGCACATTTGAGTCCTAAGGATGTAGAGGAGTCAGAAAGTTAGGTTGCCTGCAGCTTTACTCTAGACCTGCTGTGTCCAAGCTTTACCACTTGACACACTGGGCTGTATTGAGGACATGACATATGGCTAGTGTAAAACCAAGTTTGACATTTTTCTTAATTTGTTTAAATTTTAAAATGGAAGCAGTGTAAAATCCTTCTACCATGGAACAACTTTATTCTTTTGATAGGACTGCTTTAACTCTTGCCTCATATAATGTACAGTTGTTGTAGTGCATATATACTTTTTACTTTTTAAAACATGGGTATTCAAAAAAACTTTAGTAGAAATTTTTATTAGAAAAAACTTTACGCATGTGGCTAGTGTTGTATTTCTCTGGGACAGCATTGTTGTAGACAGTTGGAGGTTAATCAACGTGAAACTACCTGGGCACATCTTCAGTCCGCTCTCAACAAGGAGCCAAACTCTGTTAGCAACTCTGTAATTGACTTGCACTTTTGATGTTTTCTTCAGACCAGGATTGATTTTAAGAACTTGAATTTCCGGTCTAGATTTGTATCTTTAAGGCATCTTTAAAGGTTGACTGAATGGACTGCTTTTAGCTACTCTTTTACAATGTAGCAAATGTTCTTTGCTTAGGGGAGAAGGGAATTGGATCATGAAAAGGGTGTGCATGGTTTCTCATCCTTTGTCTGTTTTGCTACTTTGACCTTATAATTTATTATAAAAGTGGAAACGCAAAAGTTATATAAAGTAAAAAGAGAAGGCTCCCCCCCACACCCACCCTGGTCCACACACTCTGTTCCATAGTGCAGATCTTGAAAGGCATTCTTCAGACCTTTTTTATGATTAGTTTTTTTGTTTGTTTTTTAGGATTGGAGTTCAAACATTAAAAATTGAGGTATAATTGACATACAACATTATATTAGTTCAAGGTGTAGAACACGATGTTTACATGTTTGTATATATTGCAAAATGATTACCATAGTAAGTCTAGTTAATATCTGTGACCATATGTAGTTACAGAATCTTTATTCTTGTGATGAAAACTTCTAAAATCTACATCCTTACCAACTTTCAAATATGCAATACAATGTTGTTAACTGTAATTGACAAGCTGTTCATTACATCTGCGGGACTTACTTATTTCATACCTGGACGGTAGGTACCTTTTGACCACCTTCACCCATTTTGTCCACTCCCTACACCCTACCTCTGACAGCCACCCGTCTGCTCTCTGGATCTGTGAGCTTGGGGAGTTTTGTTCTGTTTTGTTTTGAGATTCCACATTTAAGAGAGATCATACGTTATCTGTCCTCTGACTTCTTTCTTTCAGAGTCCATCCATGTTGTCACCAGTGACAGGGTTTCCTTTCCTTTATGGCTGAGTAATATGATCACTTTTTTTTTTTTTTTAACATTTATTTATTTTGAGGGCGGGGGAGGGAGAGGCAGAGAGGAAGAGAGAGAATCCCAAAAAGTCTCCCCTGCTTAGCACAGAGCCTGACATGGGGCTCAATCTCACAAACCAGGAGATAATGACCTGAGCCAAAGTCAAGAGTCGGACGCTTAACCGACTGAGCCTCCCAGGCGCCCTCGATCACTGGCTTTTAAAGCAGAAAATATAGTTAATTTAACAAAACCATCACATCCCAAGAAATACTTCAGGTCCATATTATGATAAATTAGAGGTGTGAGACCACTGGAAAGATGAGAGGAAGGAGAGCACCACGTAGGAAAAGATGGGAGGCAGAGAAAGGGGGGGAGAAACAGCCAAGAAAGAGGGGAGACAAGGGACCGGGGGGGGGGGGGGGGGGGGGGTCCCAGCCACCAGGTGAGGGATCCATGCAGTAATTCAGTAGCTCTGGCCGATGCTCTTTGAACACCATCTCTGCTGAAACTGCTAATGTCGATTCACAGCTCCTCAACCGTCTCCACCATGCTGCTTGCTGTTCCCCAGCCATACAGCTAGGCATGTACAACTGGCTTTCCAACAGTTTCCACAGCAGAACCTTTCTTTCTGAAAATGAAACCTTGTATCGGAATGCCACATACAGAGCTGACAAAGGCAGAGCTGCTGTGGATCCCTAGAGCCCAACCTTCTAGTGCTTCTCCATGTCTGGGGAGCTCTGCAGCACCTGCAGTGAGACTTTTGCGGATGACAGTTTGGGCGATACTTTTATTAAGGTGTGTCCGTGCTGAGGAGCAGTACCTGGAAAGAGAGAAGTATCTGGCATGGAAACAGCAATGTTCAGAGCGGGTTGTGCACATAGGATGAAGGAAGCAGCTGGGTCTCTTTGTTAATTATTGAAACTAGTGATCTTCAGGAGTATTTTCAGAGGCTTTTAAAACATTTTTTTATTTATTTTTGAGCGACAGAGTGTGAGCAGGGGAGGGGCAAAGAGAGAGGGAGACACAAAATCAAAGCAGGCTCCAGGCTCAGCTGTCAGCACAGAGCCCAACGCGGGGCTTGAACCTACTAACCGGGAGATCATGACCTGAGTTGAAGTTGGACGCTTAACTGACTGAGCCACCCAGGCACCCCCAGAGGCTTTCTGATATTTATTGTATAAAACATCTGTGAAAATCTTGTACCTTTTGGCCTCCATTCTTATCAAGAAGTCTCATTTGGAAGATCACTATACACTGACCAAGGTTCATAGTATAATTAATAATTTAACACAGTAAGTTTTAATGTTGTTAATTAAATAGGTTTAAAATCTGAACTATGGAAGACAGTTTCTAAAATCCTGTTTATTATTTTCTCTTTTAGGAGAAGATGATGGTGAGTTAAAACTGTTCTATTTGGGTTTGCCTCAAGTGTAGAGAAAATGTTTTTAGTGATCAAAATTTGATTTTTCCCTTTATTCAAAAGAAAATGTTTATCTTATTTTTCCAGAAATAGCCACCAATGAATGGTGACAAAAATAAATGTTTTATAATGTATATTTACCCTATGTTTGAAAGATGTATAAATTCCATCTTAAATATTTAGTGTAGAAACCAGGATTACATTACAAGTTCCCCACTTTGCGGTTATTATAATCTGCTTGAATATGTTCTGTAGAAATGGAGACAAGATAGTTTTACCAGATAGTTTGTCTTGTGCCTTTGTTTTCTTATTGTCTTTGTAATTTGTAACCTCTGTTACAGTAATAAGTAATCTGATGAATAGTAATTTACCACCAATTGATTACTCCAGGTTACCAAATGAATATCAGTCATAAATTGCCCCCAAACAATCAAAATAGTTATTTCAAGTGGCTGTTTACTTCTCTGTGCTCAAGGCAGTGATGAGCACTGTGCAAGGTAGAAAGATGTGTGAGAGATGATGCCTTGCCCTACAGATGCTGACAGTATGTAGCAGGAATGACCAGCACTGCTCATAAATAATGGCAAAGAAGTGCTGCACATACATAATAAAACAGTAAGTGAGCTAGCTCTTTAGAGGTGGGACAGATCCTGTCCCACTGATCTGGAGGCTTAGTGGAGGAAGTGGCATTTGAGAGGAGTGTTGAGTAATGGGACAGGTTTAGGCTGATAGAAATTGGATCCTGTGTGCTATTAGGAGGAAATAGCATGGACCAAGGAGTTCAGAAGAGAAGAATCAAGCGTGTTTGGGGAGACCGTGTTAGCAGTAGGGAACACTTCATACAGTAGTAGTTTAAGTTGGGGGAGAGGAGCAGAGGCCATTCTTGAGGATTGGGGAGCTCAACTTTTCCTGATAGCGTTTGGGATTTCTTGAGTAAACAAGTGAGATTATGATGAATGGTCCTTAGGCAGAGTATGTGGAATAAGTTCATCTGTGGGAAGATGTTTGTGTAGTTTTGCAAAGTATGAAGACTCTCCGGAGACAACGTTATTCCCCACTATCTAATTTATCCCCTAGACTCCTTGCTCAGCTCATCTATGTGTTGAGTTTGTCTTCTGCTTTGCTTTTCTCAGGTAGAATAAAGATAGGTAACTCACAAAGTCTATTTTGATGAACTAGATTGATGTTTATTGGCTGTCATTTTTTTTTTCTAGTCAGAACAGCATTGGTCTAGAAATCGCTCTTTTAGCATTAGTACACGGCTAAGTCAGGTCCTTCCATACTTTAGGCATTGATGTTCCTGAAAAATTTTTTAAAAATTAAGGGATCTTAAAATTACCTCTTGCAATTTAGGAGTTTTAGAGAATTGAGGAAATGTATCTAGCTTTACTGCTCAGGAAAAAATGGAATAATTACTAATTTGATTTTTGGATTATAATTCACTGTTTTTTTTTCTAGAAATTTTAAGGCATTATATGGCTGTTATGAAAAGCAAATTTAAGATTGTTAAACTCTTTCACCACCATACTTAGGGATGTTTAAGCCTTCTAATGAATAATATTACATAATATTTGACTGAAAAATTTCTTAAAAATTTTGCTTAGTCAAGTATCATTTATAAGAAAATGTTCCCAAAGTTACTTAAAGTACTTTGGGGCTTTATTTTCTAGAACCATATGCCTATTTTTCTACTTCACATGAAGCAGTGGCCATTTCTAGAGGTGTTCCTTAATCTGTCGTAGGAAATACTTTATGTGCTTAATTTATTCTGATTTGTAGGTGACTGTTTAAAATATTTTAACCCAATTCTGTGTGTATCTTTTTTTTTTTTAAAGGAGAATCGTTCTACACGTGGCTAGAAGGTAAACTTACACATCTGCATTTTAAATTTATTAGTCTCCTATAAAAATGTATGGATTGATTGAATATATTTTTGTAAGTTCAGGATTCATTACCTAGACAACTAATTTTTACAGTGTTGAAAGAAAACAACAGGGGCGCCTGGGTGGCGCAGTCGGTTAAGCGTCCGACTTCAGCCAGGTCACGATCTCGCGGTCCGTGAGTTCGAGCCCCGCGTCGGGCTCTGGGCTGATGGCTCGGAGCCTGGAGCCTGTTTCCGATTCTGTGTCTCCCTCTCTCTCTGCCCCTCCCCCGTTCATGCCTGTCTCTCTCTGTCCCCCAAAAAAATAAACGTTGAAAAAAAAGGAAAGAAAACAACATATTGTAAGTTGTTGTATTTTAGGATATAATTATTTGAAAAATTTGAGGTTATTGGTCAGCCAAAAATAATCAGCATTAGGGAGATATACACGGCACATACTGTCCTCGGGTTTTCATAACTGGCTCCTCGGTGTTATTTTCATTCTGTTTGTACCACTCATCCAGACTGCTTTCCTAGTAACCATTTTGCAAATTTGCTTTGTAGGTAGAGACCTTCTTGTTGGAAGGAAGTACTTGTTATATATATGAAAATGAGGGAAGGTACATTTGATTTCAGAAGATTAAACAATGTTTACACATGTTAAGATAGTCTAAACTTGTTTAACTAAAGGATAAAGCAATGTAGCTCCCAGTAGATACTTTGAACTCTTACATTTTTTGGTGTTGAAAATATAAATACTAGTAATGGAAAACTGAAGCATTCTAGGATTTTAACAACTTCAGTTGAAAACTGGATATATGAGGGGTGCCTGGGTGGCTCAGTCGGTTAAGCATCCGGCTTAGGCTCAGGTCATGATCTCAGGGCTCGTGGGTTTGAGCCCTGCGTCGGGCTCTGTGGTGACAGCTCAGAGCCTGGAGCCTATTTCAGATTCTGTGTCTCCCTCTCTCTCTGACCCTCCCCCGTTTATGCTCTGTCTCTCTCTGTCTCAAAAATAAATAAACATTAAAAAAAAAAACAACTGGGTATATGCTTTTTAAAAATTTACCAAATTGTCATTAATTTATGAAAGCAAAAGTTAAAATGTGTCGGTGAAAGATAACCAAGTTGAATGATACAGGAAATCATAACTGTATAGGAACTCTGCAGAGTTAAACTAAGTACTTTATTTTATGTTTGCTAATTGGTGATGTTACCTTGTGAAAATGATTTCTCTTTTTTATTTTTATTTATTTTTAAATGTTTATTTTTTTTGATAGAGAGTGCAAGCAGGGGAGGGGCAGAGAGAGAGGGAGACAGAAGATCAGAAGCGGGCTCTGCGCTGACAGCAGCAAGCCCGATGTGGGGCTTGAACTCAGAAACCAAGAGATCATGACTTGAGCCAAAGTCAGACACGCAACCAGCTGAGCCACTCAGGAGCCCCCTGATTTCTCTTTTTTAATGTAGTATGTACCTGTGTTGGCCATTATTAAGGTGAACATTATTGATGTGCCAGTACTACTAGGAATTATATTGATGAATGGCCTATGTGGAAGAAAATTCTTAATTTTACTTCATTAGCTGTATTCTAAAGATACAAATTGTGAAGACTAGTATTTAGGTTGAGAGAGGTGGTAAGGGACTCTGAATATTGATAATGGAGGATGAGAATGAGATTTACGGGCAATATTGAATTTTCTAGGGTATTCTTTATTAACCACTTTTCTAGTGTCCTACTGATGGGACTCCCTGAATACTGATACATGGTTTCAGAGAACACTCCTATATATAGGCATCTGATTGAACTTTTCTGAGATCTAGTTCGCTCATCTGGGACATGAGATTAACAATGGCCATCCAATTCACCTACACTGTACGTGTAGATGATGCCTGTAAAAATGCCTTTGAAAATCACTAAACAACGTGCAAATATCCAATAATACTGTTACAGTAAATCTAGCCCTTTTGTGAGAGAAAAAATTACATATCCGTGTCCTGTAATTCACTTGTTGAAAATGAATCTGGGTGAAATTAAATCCAAAAGAAAGAGAACCATTGTCTAAATTGGATAGTTGAATTTGCTCTGTATTTTTAGAAATAGAAATCGGTAAATTTTGCCTTTGTAAATCAGCTTCTGTAGATGTTACTTAACATGACTGTGATGGCTTCGTCATGCCTGCCAGCAGACTGCAGGCAGGAAAGAGCTGTCCAGCAATTTCCCACAAGGTGTGCTATGTGTTTTATTGGTACACTCAGTTGGCACATCTTCTATTATTAACCACTTTGCTTAAAGTTACCTTATTTTCACAGTTTATGGAAAGACATTTCTGCTCCTTCGCACTCCTCACCTGTCCCCATTCCAAGTAAAGGGCTTTGAGGGCTTTGCAAATTAGAATGGTCTCCCAGTCTGTGTTCTTATTTTTAGGCATATGAATTTTCACAAGCCGTGCTTTGCCTGTTTTCCCTTCTCTGGTCTTTAGACACTTTACTGGCTGTAAACACTGCTTACAGAGGTGCGTTAGAAGGAAAAGAAAGTGAACTATACATCTGATCATTTTGCTACTTGGTAACAGATTTAATGAAAAGTTTTACTAGAGGAAAAGTTAGTACTTAGTAGTTCATTAAACTTGTTCATGATGTTTATATGCCTTGCTACCATGAGCATTCAAACTGGGCCATATACTTTTAGGAAGAAGCTGCAAAAAAGAACTTAATTTCTACTTTTGGTCTCCATCCATGACAATGGGAATATTCTAGCAAGAATTCTAAATTAGGGAATGAGATCTCAAAAGAATTATATTTTCCTGTTAAAAGCTACTTGCTTCACAGCCATATAGGGTAGAACATCGGGTAAATTGAAGATCTAAAACATCTTGGGGAAAATGCAAAGCCAGCCGCGTACGTACTCTTACATTTAAAAAATCCCACAGCTTACAAGTGAGGTTTTTTCTTAGTTCCTTCCCACTGTTGAAGTTCATTTTTCCTCCATGGGGAGAGTTTACAAAAAAAAAACAAAAACAAAAAGCAAAAATGACAAAAACAAAAAATCTGTTGGATGGTAAGAGAAGGAAAAAGCCAAATGCTCTGCATTCAGTGGATTCTTAAAATCTAGGTTTTTGCATTTTTATCTATTCCAAAAATTGTCTATGAAGAATATTTTCTAGAATTTTTTCTTTTTTTTGTGGTTAAATATACATAACAAAATTTACCATTTAAATATGCGTAACATAAACTTTGCCATCTTAATTATTTTAAGTTTAGTGGCGTTAAGTACATCCACAATGCATAGTACTTTTGTAGTAAGAGTAAAAATGGAGGTAGGGGTAGGATAGGGTAGTGGAATTAGCTTGACCTCTGTTTGAGCAAAAGCCTGTGTGGCTTAAGGCTACATAAAATCATTTTCCATCATATTCCTGTATTCCGTCTGATCTGATTCTACTCAGAGGAAACAGTCAGCCTACTTTTTTTTCCTTGGTTGAAATTCCTGGATTACTGTTTCCCAGGTTTTGCCTCCTTACCAAGTGGACCATATAGTCCAGTGGAACTAGAGGATTGTAGGGTGGAGGATTAGTAAGACACACTAAAGAATCCGGAGGAAGAAGAGAAATGGAATGCGGTCTCGTCTTCCTCCACAATCAAGTAGGGTCGGAGAATCGACAGCCATAGGAAAGGGAAAGGGAAAAACAGCTGTTGTTAAGCCAAAGCAGTGGCTTTCTAATTGTATTGGCTTACAGTTTAGCCCTAACCCATGAAAAGTCTGTGCCACTGCTTTCTGAGTAACGTGGGAACTTGTCAAGTACACCCATACTGCTTGGAGCTCCAGGGCCCAGCATTTTCTGTCTTACTCTGCATTAGGTTAGCATGTGCATAACTCCATTCAGAAGTCAGAATCTTCTAGTAAGAGAATCTTGACCTAATCATTTTGTTATTCCTTGATTATTTTTAATTTCCTTGAACCTTAACTTTAAAAATAAGCCTGTGTACTGAATCTCCTTGATTCAGTGTTTCCGTTATCTAAATGGATGTGATTTCTTTTTCAATTTTTTTCTGAATAGGTTTGTGTCTGGAGAAGAGAGTCTTCTATAAGCTTATATCGGGACTTCATGCTAGTATCAATTTACATCTGTGTGCAAATTATCTTTTGGAAGGTAATCCCATTTTTATGTAGAAATCTTCTATTGTAAAAATTGTTGGGGGTGGATATATATTCTCTAGAGAGGGGAAAAAAACCTACTTATTAAAGGTATGCTATGTATTTCTCTTTCTCTGTAGAAACGTGGGGTAAACCTAGCTGGGGACCCAATATGAAAGAATTTAAACGCCGCTTTGACCCTGTGGAAACTAAAGGAGAAGGTCCAAGAAGGCTTAAGAATCTGTACTTTTTATACTTAATTGAGCTTCGAGCTTTATCAAAGGTCGCCCCGTATTTTGAGCGCTCAATTGTTGATCTTTACACTGGAAATGTAGAAGAAGATGCTGACACAAAAACCCTTCTACTGAATATCTTTCAAGATACAAGGTAAGAATATGGTTTCACTCTTACGTGGATCCTGAGAAACTTAACAGAAACCCATGGGGGAGGGGAAGGAAAAAAAAAAAAAGAGGTTAGAGTGGGAGAGAGCCAAAGCATAAGAGACTCTTAAAAACTGAGAACAAACTGAGGGTTGATGGGGGTGGGAGGGAGGGGAGGGTGGGTGATGGGTATTGAGGAGGGCACCTTTTGGGATGAGCACTGGGTGTTGTATGGAAACCAATCTGACAATAAACTTCATATATTGAATAAAAAAAAGATACAAGGTAAGAATTGACTATCAGCAATCTGAAATTCTGCACTCTGAATATGAATGAGGTAGTGCTTGAAATACAACAGAAACTGATTCCTGAAAGCCAGTTAGGAAGAGGGAGGGTCACACCTGAGAAGGAAAATGCTCAGAAGGACAGCAGAGCAAGTAGAACAGCCTGTCCACACTTGCAAATGGCCTGTATTTTCAAACATAACTTTACATTTTATGTGGTGTCAAAGTTTAATGCTGTTTTAATGTATTCTGCCAGTTTTGTATTCTTCCCATTGCTGTTTAAATTCAGATGCTGCTATAAGGGGGTTAGCATGAAGGCAGATACCTGAGGGACTGTTGTTAGCTTGACCTTCTAGAATAGAACCCCTTTTAAAAATGCTGAGTTTGTAAAATTTGAGTTTGCTGGTTGTTAAAATGAGCATAATTTAAACATGCATTAAATTATGCATTAAATTTTAAAACCTTTTTTTAAGAGTGTTGCACATTTTCCACATAAATTGCTTTTAAACTCATTTTTTGAATTATTTTTTATCATGTAATTTCTTTAAAACAGTCTTCTAAATTACAAAGCCATGTTTATGTTGTTTTACTCTTTTATTGAGTAGTTTACATATGAGCTGTTTGCCACCTTCCTGTGCTATTGAACTTCACACACGTGTAAATTATGATGTGTAAGCATTTGTTCAAGGGACAGAAAATTCTGCCAGAGCTCTACTGCCTAGTACTTGAATTTTTCGTCTGTAACTTACAGTCTTGTCATTTCATCAGGTCCTTTCCCATGCACTTTGATGAGAAGTCCATGTTTGCAGGTGACAAAAAGGGGGCCAAGTCATTAAAGGTAAAAAGTTTGAGCTTGGGGGCTAGGGCGGGGAGCAGTTTACTGGCTGTGTTTTAATCCTGTCCATCTGAACTCTTTCCAGTTCTCTATCTTGTTGAAGTTGGTCTGATTGGATTTTACTACAAATGACACAGAAAACCTCTTCTCTGTACTTTTCAATTCCCCTTTTCTCCTTTCTGTTCTGGCCAACTCTCAGTGAATCCTCACTTGTTACTCTGACCAATGAATATGGAACCTTTGTAAATGTAAATGTCTTTTTAAAGGTCTTTATCTTGAGAGCAAGTTTTCTTACTTTAAAATCACAGCGTGTCCTGTTTTGATTCTAAAATCGTGAACTGTTAGCCATTTTGAAGGCAATAAATACCGTATTTTTTCTAAAGTTTATTTAATGGGATATCTTCTGGAATGTTCCAGTTTCTGGAACTATTATGTCTTTGTCTTTATGGACTGACCTAAAAGGCAAAAAAATTACCTGCTAACCTAGGATATCAGAAGGAGACTATATTTAAGGAACCTTATCAAACTTCATGTTAGCAGCTCTGTATTTTCATTTGCTTACAGTATGTTAGGGAATATACTGTACCCTTAAAATGTTCATAAAAATAGTTGAAATGGACTGGCAAATAGTCTTTTAGTACAGCTCCACAATCCTTTATAAGCAGTTCTGAAATCCAGAAAGCTCCAACACGGTAATGTTTTTCTTCTGTTTGGTGCAAATTAATTTGTTAGCAAAACCTGACCAGAACTGATACACGAGTATTCATAGTGTTTTTCAAAAATTCCGCTGTATGAATATTCTTACATTTTGCAACAGAAACATTAATGTATTTGATGACTAGGTTTTGCCACACACTCCGGTGGCATGTTTCGTAATAAATCCTGTATGTACTGTATTTCTGAAATTTGGAAAATTCTGAATTCTGAAACACATTTGCCTCGGAGATGTCTTAGTTGTGGATATACTACAAGAACTACTAAATTAGCACCGAGTGATGCTTCACTCTGGAAGGGGTTTCTAGGGGCTTCTGAAGTGAAGTAACAGTCCCCTGTATACTAAATACAACTCTATTTTAGTTTTGGAAGATTGTTTTGTTTGATGATTATTTGAGGGGCATGTTGCTGTTGTGGTATGTAATGTAACATTAATATGTTTTTGTATTGCTGTCTATTTTCTAAGTATTTATACAAATGTTATACTTTTGGATAACTGGATCTTTCTGTGGAGGAGGAAGGTGGGAGTGAGAAAGGAACTAGCTTTCAACTAGAAATTGCTGGAAATTATGTTTGCTGTTTTTCAAAGGGTATAAAGGGGGACTTCAGTTCACTTTTCCATCTGCTCCTGAGAACACAAACTATATGAGAATGGAGAGCAGAGGACTTGTGTTCTTTCTGTTGTCTTGTGGCTGGGATACTGCTTCTTGGGAACCCTTTGGGCAGCCAGACAGGGCTTCTGGTGGCCAGAGTTTTCAGGCCGCTTGCCTCTAGCTTCATAAATAAAATGTTTACCTGGGTACAATGAAATGAAATTTATTTTCTGTGTTTGCCAAATGCAAAAGATGAGGAAACTCTCTTAACTAGTGTTAGCCTCAGAGGAGACTGATCTTAGAGTCCTAGAAACCATGATTTAGAGTCTCTCCTGTGTAGGAAACAATTACAGCACAATACAAGGTCCAGTAGGCAGCTGTCCCTGCAGAGGCTGTCTAGCAAATGTGAGGATCGCACAGCCCTGTGATCACCGGGGCTGATGGAGCACCCATTACAGTGTGTGATTCTAAGGGGAAGGATGAGAATTGATCATTGGTCTAAGGCCGGCTTTCCGATGTGGCCTCACATAAGCAATATGTGAAAAATAAGCCAAACGTAATAGAGAGGTATTTACCCCTTGTTCTATGCAGATATCAAATGGAGGCAGCAGTGAAGTTCCTTCAGAGTAAAACCCACCTATCATTTACGTTCGTTTCTCCCATAGTGTTACTTTGTAGAGAGTAGCACCTCAATAAAACATTTGTGTTAATACATAGAATGACTTGTATAAATTTCTATGGTCCGTTTTATGTACCATGTTATGTCATACAAATGCAAATATTTTTCTTCTTCGCTGTTGAGAAACTCCTTCATTAATAAGCTTCAGAACTTTTATTTCTTACGATTCAGACCAATGCAGTTTAATTTTAAACCTCTAATGAGCATAAAAAATATGTCCTGCACGTTAGGAGGAGTTCCGCTTACACTTCAAGAACATCTCCCGAATAATGGACTGCGTTGGATGTGACAAATGCAGATTATGGGGGAAATTGCAGGTTTGTATTTTGTCTTCTGTTTTAAAACTATTTCTAACCTTAAATTTTCCTCCCGGGAAGTTGCAGGTTTTTAGTACAGTGCCCTCATTATTCACTGAAATTAGAGGATCTAAAGTGTGGATTTCCTGCTTCTTCGATGAAAAAGATGAATATATTAAATCTGTGTTATATGTGTAAGAATGTCTCTCCTGTTTGTGTTAATGATTTTGGTTTTATCGTATTTGTTTCTATTGGTACAATCTCAGATTCATTTTTTCTTCTTTTTTTTTTTTAATGTTTATTTTTGAGAGAGAGAGACAGAGTGTGAGCGGGGTTGGGGCAGAGAGGGAGAGACACACACGGAATCTGAAGCAGGCTCCAGGCTCTGAGCTGTCAGCACAGAGCCTGATGGGGGGCTTGAACCCACATAAAAGAGAAGTTCTGCCAAGCAGGCCCATTTCTGTGTCTATTCAGTGTGAAAGGATTGTTTGATACTTTATCTTATTTATTTACAAGTATGACAAGAAGTCCTGGAAAGATCGAGACAAAATTTTTTCTCTAGTTCTAATAAATTTTGAAGTGTGGTTTTCACTAATAGCTTCTACGTTTTGAATTGCTAGGGGCCATAAAGATTGCTTTCAGGGTTACATATTGAACACTGTTATTCTAATGGGATATTTTCTAGGTTAAAGCATCTTAGTAATTTATGTCCAACAAGTGTTAAGTTATTCAGGTTCCTTAATAGTTTAGATACATTTATCATATACATAATGTGTGAGGAAGTAGAAACTGTAATTTGCAGTTTAACATTTTGGTGAAAAGTTCAGTTCATATGAATTTCTTGACTCTCATCACAGTGACTGCGTATTCCTTTTAACCTTTATAGTAATTATTACTACAGGAATTTAATTGTTAACATGTATCACTATTTTCTTTAGACTCAGGGTTTAGGAACTGCCCTGAAGATCCTATTCTCTGAAAAAGAAATCCAAAAGCTTCCAGAGAACAGCCCATCTAAAGGCTTCCAACTCACCCGACAGGAAATAGTTGCTCTTTTAAATGCTTTCGGGAGGTAAGAACGGTTTTCACAGTGAAGGCTTCTTGGGTTTTGCTGGCTTCAGCAGGACCACAAAGATCATCTTCTCTGCTAACGTCATTTGCTTTGTTTGGTTGACAAAGAGAAAGAATTCTATGGCATCCTACCTGTCCACACTGTCCAGGGTCTGCGCAGGTCCCAGGAAAAATGAATAAAGTCCGATCGCCTTCTCAGTGTCGTGGGGCAGATACTCTCCTGATAACGCTCCCTTCAGCTGGCTGTAGCCTGTTGGCACACAGCAGCAGGAGTAAGGAAAGGAAAGCTGGGTTGAGATGGTGAGAAAAGAAACAGACGACACCTTCTCACTGCTTTTTCTTTCCTAAGCCGAGGCGGCATTTTCCCTTCGTTCATTCTTACCCCATTCTCCCAGCACAGACACAGGTTCGCTTTTGGTTTGCACACAGATGGTTTCAAACAGAATTTGAGTTTTCCCCCAGAGAGGCCTGCAGTACCAGTGAACTGAGAATACAGAGCAGAAGGAAAAGAATCCCAAAGTCAAGTCAAGGAAGAATTGTTTTAAAAAATAGGGAACCACATGATGCAGAAATCATTTCTTAGGTTTTCTTTTTTTTTTTTTTTATTTTATTAAAAAAAAATTTTTTTTTAACGTTTATTTATTTTTGAGACAGAGACAGAGCATGAACGGGGGAGGGGCAGAGAGAGAGGGAGACACAGAATCGGAAGCAGGCTCCAGGCTCTGAGCCATCAGCCCAGAGCCCGACGCGGGGCTAGAACTCATGGACCGTGAGATCGTGACCTGAGCTGAAGTCGGACGCTCAACCGACTGAGCCACCCAGGCGCCCTTCTTAGGTTTTCTTAACGTGCATTTTTGAGTTAAAACGGGGCCATTAAATTAAATTGGCTCTTCCCCATCTTAGATATCACCTGTTGCTCCTGTGTATTTAAAGATGACGCTGTAGGTTGGGATTTCAGGCATATGACAGAGGACATAGGACATCAGTGATTAGTGCCTGATGGAAAATTTAGTTCACTCACTTATGAGGCCTATGAGTAAGATGGAACAGGAGAAACTGAATTAAAGTATTTAAATGAAATTTAAATGAAAAAGATGTTTGAATTTTTTTTTAACATTTATTTTTGAGAGAGACAGAGCATGAGCTGGGGCGGGGCAGAGAGAGAGGGAGACACAGAATCTGAAGCGAGCTCCAGGCTCTGAGCTGTCAGCACAAAGCCTGACGCGGGGCTCAAACCCACAAACTGTGAGATCATGACCTGAGCCAAAGTCGGACGCTTAACCAAATGAGCCACTCAGGCTCAGTCCCTTGTATATAAATGGTACCTTGTGGGACTTGTACCAACAAGTGACTCTCAAGTCCTCAGCTTATTTTCTAAAGCTGGGGTTTAGCTATCCTTAATATTTAAAATACTGAGGACTGGCTACACTAACACATACTAACACATAAAAATTATTGTGTTACACCTCGGGGAGGTTGTGCATTAGCTTTACATAAGTGAATTCGTAGTTTTCTCTGTCCAACAGCCTATTTAATACAGTTTTAGCTCAGGGCACCCAGCACCACATTGCTCTGTCACGTGATGCTGGTGAGCAGGGACATACAATGCGCACTGTCTTCAGTTCTAGCCACTGAACTGAAGCCATTTCGGCCATTTTCCAGGGAAAATGTGGTTTCTGTATCTTGAATACTCTGTAAGTATCTTTCCTACACGAACAGCCATTTTCTGCTAGTTTCTACATTTGTATCAAATGGTTTGCATATGGCATTAATATACCCGTTGGGTGTTATGATATCCTGTAACGCGCCTCTGAAAGAAGCAGCAGGTAGACACAGGTGCGCCCGTGCCCTCCTGTGTACGAAGGTGTCACACGTCTCTTGGGTAATACGTTGTGAGGTCTGGGACTCCTCTCCACAGAGACTGTGCTGTGATGGCCCCTGGCTGTGCTGGCCAGTGTGTGGTCTCTGGGTGAAAGGAATCCCTGTGGTTAATTTGTGTGTAACCTTGGAGCTCTCTGATCCTCCGCCGTCTGTGTCTAAATCAGACTTCGAGCATGCTTTTTCATTCTGAACACCCCTCCTGCTATTTACTCAGCTCTCTTTTCTTTAGTTTTGGGCCTTGGTTTCTTTGCTATACCTTCATATGTATTTTGACAGGTTTTTTTTTAGAAGTAGGTACTTTAACACACATGATTTTACACATTTATTTTGTTTAATAATTACACTGCTTTTTTCTGATAATCAAAAACTGTTTCAATCCTTTAATATTCTGAGGATTAGAGTAAGAATTCATTTTCTATTAATCCACATCTTGCAAGCATCTTAGAAGAGTATAAAGAAAACATTGTTGAGACTCTAGAGAGCATGGACTTTTTGAGAGGCTGTGTGGTCATGGGATATGATGGACAGGTTGGAACCCATCTATTAGTTGGGTGACCCTGAAAAATTACTGATTTATTTGAGCCTCAGTTTTCCTCAAATAGGACATCAAGGTTAATTTTATCTACCTTGTAGAATTTTTTCCTGATGACTGAGAGTATGTGTCTGATGTGCTCAGGACATTGCCTAGCATATCCTAAGCTTTTAATATAAGAAAACATATTAAGTACTTAGAGGAAAGAAAGACAGTTAATACTGCATACTACATCATCTTATGTTCTAGAAAGAAAAACATTAGACTTTATTCTGTCAACCCTAAATTGTACATAGGGTAACTGGGCTTATACAATTATTTTTTGTGATTCCCATTCCAGAATTTTTGGGCCTGGACCCAGAAGCATGCATGCATTCATTAACTGATTCAGTAATTACTTATTGAACACCTTCAATATTGATGGGCATAGGGCACAGGTATTCACCATGAGATAAATAAACCATCTTTACCTTGTGGGGCTTATAGTCCCCCCATGTGGTAAAAAATCCACGTATAACTTTGGATTCCCCCAAATTGTAACTATTAATAGTCTACTGTTGATCAGTAAAACCTTACAGATAGCATAAGCAGTCTATTAACACCTATTTCATACATTATATGTATTATGTACTGTAGTCTTAGAATAAAGTAAGCTGGAGAGGAGAAAGGTTATTAAGCAAATCATAAGAGAAAATACATTTACAGTACTGTATTTATTGAAAAAAATCTTTGTGTAAGTGGCCCCTTGCAGTTCAAACCTGTGCTCAAGGGTCACCTATAGTGTGTTTGGGGAGCGACAGGGAAGGACTGAATATTTGGAGAGGAAGGTGCACCATGAATTTGTATGACCAACTGTAAATGATTTGAGATTCTTTATTGTAATGAGTTATTCATATCACGGTTCCCGTCATTAGAATCTGTTGTTAATAAGTGACATATCTTTTCCCCTTCTGAGCCAAGACTGAGGAACCATACCTGTGTGTTTTGCCAGTCTTTAGTCGTTAATTACAGCGTGTTCATTTAAAAATGGAATTTCCATTGTTCAGTGTTACTTACCTTCTTTTATTTTGGATTTTGCTTTCAAATTATAGCTCATATCACCGTATCAATAATTTGAAATATGTGCACATATTAACTGTCCTAATATGTTCTTTTTTTTCTTCTTTTCTAGGCTTTCTACAAGTATAAGAGAGTTACAGAATTTTAAAGTCTTATTACAACACAGTAGGTAATAAAGGCTTTTATATGTCTAATTAGAGACATAATGTGACTGTGTGAAGCCTGTTAGTCTTGGACATTCAGCAGAAGGAGACTAATCTTCAAAGACTTGAAGAAAGAATTCTGAACTCTTAAAGAGAAAATTCAAATGTTCACTTGAATATTTATGATTCTTAATAGATTGTCAATTAGAGGTATTTATAAATGAAGTATATGCTTTTAAAACATGTAAATTATACTAATTCTGTGTTTAATTTCATGTTTCCACTTGTTGACTATTCTGCTATTCTGTTTAGAACTGGTTTTGTGCTTACTCTATTATCCTTGATTTCCAGTTGTCCAACTTCTATGACCATCCTGATAACACTGTTAGCAGTCTGTTCTGGAAAAAGAGAGCTAGAGAACAAATGTTGCTTAGAGCTGATATCCGTGATAAAAATTTATCAGTGATCTTTGAAACGTGTTTGGATTAGCTTTGTCTCATTCCGGGTGTCACCCTCTGTAACATGGAGGCGTTGGTGTGATGAATGGTACTTTCAGTGTAAGAATCCCCATCCCCAGGGCTTCAGCTTCAGTTTCCCTGGTGTTTATGTAAGATTTCTAGTTGCGTTGTTGGGGCTGTTTTGGTCTAAAGGCCCTGCTTCAGTAGAGGTGAAAAAGCACCATCCCCTGTGCTGGCTGTCCGGCCGGACCCCCCAAGTGTGTCGTGGGCAGGTCTTCACCTAGAGCCTATCCTATGTACCCATTTCCTTTGACTCTGTATTTCTCTGTCCGTACTCGAATTACAGAATTTTTGTTCACTTTGAGAAAACAAAAAAATTGCGTAAATATTTAAGTTTTGCCTTGATAAAATGTGAATGGGATTATATGGATCTGTAACGCCACCTTCAAACATTATATACGCAAAATTTACTTTTTTAAATTAAGCATTTTTAAAGGAATTTTATTTTTATTTTTATTTTATTTTAGAATACAATCTATGCAATCCCCTGTCAACCTGAGTATCTTCAGTAGGTCATTCGAGCAGGTAGAGGAGTTCAAGCCTCCGTGATGCTCCCCGTCCCCGCCTCCCTTTTCCTTTCAGTCCCTTGTATATAAATGGTACCTTGTGGGACTTGTACCAACAAGTGACTCTCAAGTCCTCAGCTTATTTTCTAAAGCTGGGGTTTAGCTATCCTTAATATTTAAAATACTCTTTTTAAAGCTGTTAGAGATAGATTAATTTGGAAGGAGGCATCTGTGTAGAAGTAATGCGGGGACATTTCTCCTTCAGTCTTTTATGAAGTGCTCTTAAACCCACATCTCACCTGCCAGAGTCTGAAATGTGTTCATTGATGATTTAGTGGAGTGTTTTAAATTGTGCTTCGTTGGCTCACTCCTCTTTTAAAAATACTCGGTCATCCCTTGGAGGGATATGGCTGAAGGGGAGTAAGGTCTCACTAGTTAATTATTTTCTTACCCAATTTCTAACCTTTATAGACCCAGGGGTTTTTTGTTGTTGATGGTGGTGACTTGTTTGTTTGTTAAGTCGAATAAAACAGACCGGCTTGACTGGAGAGCCTTCTCTACTTTTTCTTTTCATTCTTAGGAATGTAAGTATTGTGCGGTGGGAGAGGGGGACCTTAAGGTAAAAAGTGAGTAAGTAATCTTGTTGATAAATTAGTAAGAATTATTCTTAGTGTTCATTCAGAGTTTAAGAAAATGTGAAAGTTTTGCACTTTGTCTATTACTGCAAGTTTCAAAAATCGTTTGGTAGTGTTACTTTACTGTTCCCTCCGTTAAAGATAAAACTGTTATTTAAATTCTGTTGACTGGAGAAAATCCTTGGTCATTTCCATTTATTGCTTTTTTTCTTTATGTGATTTGCTTGAAGCTTAGGAAAAATTGTATATTAGAGTGAGTTCTAGGAAATTAAAAGGTTAGGATTCAGTTCTTTTCACGGTTTTAATGGATGTTTTCACTACCAAGAAAATAAACAAGTGAAGTATTCTTAAGCTGAAATTTATGTAACTTTATTTTACCGCAAATTGGATGGGGGGTGGGGCAGCCTACATTTTCACGTATGTGTGTATCTCCTAAATGTACGTGTAGGAACCTCTGTTTTGTGCGCCTGGTGATACTGTATGATCTTTGTGATATAATGTGTTTTTCTAAGTCACAGACCCCCTTGTGCAGGGACACTAGAGCACTGAGTGTGTCGTGAAAACACGTGGCTGGTATCTCCTCCCGCGTTTTGTCTTCCTCTCGTCACCTGATTTAAAAATCCAGCACTTGATACTATAACTGACAGAAATGATTGTACCGGCTGATGAAGTAATGAAAATGAAGAAAAGGAAAATAATTCCTTCCTTCAACAGCATGGGTTTATTTTTTTTTCCCTTAAGTGGCATCTATGTAAGTTAGAAATATTATATATTAAAACTGATAAAATTTGAATGCTTCTCCTGTGTTGATTCTTAGATTATCAAGGGGATCAGAGAGAATACTAAGTTTTCAGCTTTGAAATTTAAGTCAAACATGCTGACACGATAACGTTGTGAATTACTCAATACTTGTCAGCTCCGTGTGTATACGAAACACTGCCATATTTTTGGACTTGACCTAGGTGCCACTGTAAGAAAGGGCAGCTGTTTCCATCTACGTCAGCATCACCTTCAGTTGGAAGTTGGGGGGCAGCCGACAGTCCAGCGCTCGGCAGTTTGCAGCCTGAAGTGCCCGCAGAACCCCTGGCTGTCCACCACAGCACGCAGACTGCTTCCGTGGGATCGCAGAAATGATTTGGTGAAACGTCACAGACGCAGACATGCCCGCAGGTGGGTGTGCGTTCTAGCTTCAGATCTGAACAGGTGCAGCTTTGATTTTGAACACCATTCTAATAATCCATTGTGGTACCCACCAGACTGTAGAAAATGTGAATTAAAGTAAATGTTTCTGTGATCTTTCTTTTCTTGTTCCCTTCCCCCCCCCCCCCCCCACCAACCTCCATCCCCGCCCCGCCTTTGAAATGTTTCCTGTTATGAGCTGAGGATTTGATTATAGTTAGTGGAGAAGTGAGAGAGGACGGAAGCAGTCAGAGCTGGTTTCTCGGAATGGCAGCCACCGGCCTCCAGCGTGCAGGGTTTCCTCGGGCTCCTGGTCGCTGCGGCAGCACCAGTAGGTAGGTCCGGTGACTAATCCGTTTTAGGAGAGAACGGAGAAGAGTGGATGACTAACTTGTCCGTAGTCACAAATTGTAGGTTGTGGGACTAAAGTTTAAAACCAGCAAGTCTGACTCCATGTCCTTTGCTCGGAATGTAGTGTATCTGTGTTATCACAGAAGTTGGCTTATAATACTCAACGAAAAATTGGGGACTTTGAGTATTTTTTGACTTGTTTTGAGTCATAAGGCTTTTCAAATATTCTTTATTTAATTTTCCAGATAAGTAATACATTCGCATGGTTGAAAAACCAAAAAATAGGAAAGGCCGTACAGTGGAATGTCTTCTTTCTGTCCTTGGCCAACCTCCCATACTGTGGACCTGCCCCACCCTTCACCCCTCACCCCAGCCTCTGCCCTTGGTTTCTTAGGTTTCCATCCACACTCGGGCTTTACACAAGCAAATACAAATGTAAAGTCTTCATTTTGCCTCTCATTTTTACCCAGGAGTAGCATCCTATACATACCATCTGCTTTTACTCAATTTTTCTTGGTAGTCTTCCCATATCACTAGTTACTTCACTCATTAAATAAACTTTTTTTTTTTTTTTACTAACTGCTCAATATTCCATAGTGTGAATGGACGTCGTTTAATGAACCAACGCCCTACTAACGGGCATGTGTCATTCCACACATATGTAAATATGTACTTGTAGAATAAATTCCGCAAAATGGAATTGTTGGGTCACAGGCCATATCCATTTATAATTGTGAAAGATAGACTGTTTCCCTCCACGGAGGCGGTTTCACCGAAATGACGGATCTACATGCTTACCCGCCACCTTACCTACGTGGATGTGGGTTTGCTGTTTGCTGTTCTGATAGATACAAAATTGTGTATCAGTGTGTTTTAGTTTTGATTTTTCTATTACCAGCGAGACTGACTCCTTTTAACATGTTGAAAATCCATGGTGTTTGTACGTGTCTTTTGAGTTCATATCTTTTACCCATTTTTGTACTACACTGTTGATCTTCTGTTTCTGTGAGTGCTTTGTTACAGATATTAATCCTTTGTATTTTTTTTTCTCTATTTGGTGTCTGTCTTGTGACTTGGCTTATTTAGGATAGCTTTGCCCTGCAATTTTTTTTAATGCAGTCTAATATCAGTTTCTCAGTGGTTTCTGGACTTTGAGTCAGAGTTAGGAATACCTTCTTACTTTCAGAGCAGTGATTCACCTACCTTTTCTTTTAGAACTTTCATGGCTGTTTTTAGATCGGAATTTGATTCCTTTGGAGTGTGTCCTGGCATGGGGCGTAAGTTATGGATTCGACCCAATTTCTTCCTGCCTGATTACTCAGTTGTTCCAGTGTCATTACTGGACAGTTCATCTTGTCCTCACCAGTCTGAGATGCTACATTTATTGTATCTAAGACCCTACATGCATTTAGGTCTGTATCTGGGTTCTCCGCTGCATTGGTCTGTTGACTCAGGTACCAGTACCACAGTTATTTTAATTACTCGGGGTCTGTGTTTAAATATCTGGTGTGGTGGTCCCCTCTTCTCCCCAACCTCCCTTTTTTTTAAAAAGTTTGCTTTAGCTTTGCTTGTTTATTCCATATGAGTTTTAAAAACATTCTTGAACACACAGACCATGCTAGAACTTGGCCCTATTTGGTGTTTTCTCTGGAGAGTTGCCCTTTTAACCACCTAATGTGTCCCTACTCCTTTTATTCTTTACCTGGTAAGAATCTACTTTTTACTGCCTGTTGTGTTCATTATTTCAGTGTTTCACTTGCCAGTGCCCAGACAGGTGAGGGCCACGACTGGGCATGCAGTGCCTGTGTAGACCTATTTTCATCTCCATGCTCCTGTTTTAAGATGGAGTTCTCAAATGATTTCTAAGAGGCTATCTTTACGTAAATCCTTATTTCCTTTTTTATTCCATTATGAATTCTTTACCCAAAAGCTACATATCTGTCAGACTCCTAAGAAAACAGGGATAGGCCGTTATAGGAATATTATACTTGTCAAATCAATACATAGCAGATACAAGTGCAAATCAAAGAAGTTACCCTTAAAAAAGACACCGTCTACCACAAGAACAGGATTGGACTGTTCATTCACTGTTGTGGGTGTCGGGACAGTGAACAAAACACAAATACCCCAGCCATCATGTAGCTTATGAATTATGTAACCTCACTAGGCTATCCCTAGCTTCTAGCGAGGACACACCCAGGAACAGCTAACATAGAAACCTGTCTAGCAGAGAAGATGCCCTCAGTGTGAACACATCTTCGTGTCTCTCTGACGATGCCATCAAGTTGTCACAGATGGATTAAAATCACACTGTGACACCCCTCGTTCACAGCAGAGTCCACATTCTTCAGGCAGCACTCGGATAAATTATTTAACTTTCCATACGGATTTCCTTCACAGAATATGCCTCCGAATGGGAAAGTGTTCTCCGCTGCGTAGGTGTTAGGTCTGCAAACTTCAGTAAGGGGACAGCAGACCACGGGTACTCAGTAACACAAACTGATCAGGCTCTGACAAAACATTTGTTCTTCCTAAACATACCGTTTTATATCTCAATTAATGCCCGAATTCAAGGAGCACCATGTGGGGACCGCCAAGGGACTGGAGGGGCTGTTGTCGGTTAGCAAGATTCGTGGAAAACAGGTTCAGAGAAAGGGAGGGATTTAGAGGGAAGTCACAAATCTAGCTTGAGGAAGCAGGCATCTGATCTTCAGTTCTGCTGAAGTTCAGAGGCAGAAAACCTGTTCTGGAGATAAAGAGGCTTAATGTTCTGAGCCTTAACGTTGCAAAAGGGAAGACAGATTTGGAGGCTATGCTGGCATGAAGTATCATCAGCTTCTGGGCAGAGAGAGGAGAGGTTTCAGCCACAGGTCAGAGAAAAGATGAAAATCCAGCTTTGGAGGAACCAGGTGGATTCCATCAGGAGTTGGTGATTTGGATCCGAGGACTTGGATCCCCTAATTGATGATCGGGGTGGTCCACCTCAGAACTCCACACGGAGGGACCTGCCGTGAAGGCCCAGGCCCCGAGGAGCTGCGTGACCGGCACAAGGAATCCACAGTGATATCTAGGTTGGAGGTATGGGGACATCTTTAGCTACTTCCGGGTATTCTGACCCACTGGCACAAGGCCTTTGCATATATCCCTACTAAGGGCCGAGAGCAGAGTTAACGGAAGGATGCTGCTGAGTTTACACCCTGGACCCACAGACTGGCAAACACCCAATAATCCCAGTGTCTAGCACATAATAAGCACTCTATAGACACAAGATTCCACTCCCTTCGTTCCTTAAATGTTTCCTCACGTGAATCACTTTACGGTTTCTGATGAGAATTCCATTATTTTAGCCTGATCCTTTCCAACAGCTCCCCTCTCTGGACCATGAGAAGCCTTAAAATAGCATTATGCATAGTTAGAAACTTTTTTAATTAGTGAAATTCTCACTAACCTGGGACAAAAAAATGGAAAGGCCTAGGAGATAGGTCTTTGATGGACCTGACACTTGTCTAGGTTTTATTATACATCCTCTAAAGTGAAAAGGTATTTTTTAAACAAAGTTTCTTCAGTTGGAAACCTTCAAAAAAGGTTCAAATACTTAACACCCATTTAATTCTAATGTAAATTTACCTTTATTAAAAAAATAAAAGCAATGTTCTAAAAAAAATAAAAGCAATATTCTAGTAATATCTACTATGAGTAAATATAAATGAGAACCTTTTCCTCAAAGCACTTTTCGTGCTCTAGGATTTACTAATGCTTATTCCTTTCCTCTTAATAGGAATTAAGTGTTCAAGGCCAACAAAGAGCAGTTCTGTCGGATTTTGGTAAAAGAGGGTATCTGGGGACGCACTTGCAGGTGTCCCTGATTTACACAGCTAAACAAGCACAGTTTTAACAACGTGCCTGATACATTCAAGAGAGAACTGGCGTAACTAAATACGATTGATGTGTAGAGTGCAACCGTCAAAACTTCTTACGGTCCCAGCTCCGTGTATCACAATCACTGGCTCAATTAAACAGGTTAATTGTAGAAAGAAAAAAAGAGCCGATGAAAGGTATCCACACGACTCAGCTGGCACCCGTAGACCGTTACCTGCAGGAGTGCACACCCATTCTGCAAGATCTCCAGCAGGTGCACAGAAATACCCAGCCTTTTAGCGCAGAATCAGACTTAGTCCACAATTTTCACCAACTCTGCCTCTTCCCCATTTTTAACTTTTAAACGACCAGGGTTTAAATTTCATCATGTTGCCTTAAAACAGGAGGACATTTGGATATTTTACAACCAGTAATCCCCACTCCTTGTCTTCTCTTAGCCTTTAATATTTCACGTAAGCAGTAGTAGCTTTGTTAGTGTACCTATTTCACAACACTTAGGAAACTAAAGGAAATTTTTATTTCCCTTTTCATACCATACCTGTAACATTTCACAGGGTACATGTGGTCATTTACTAGGAGAGAGAGTTTGATACAATCCTATTTTTTACATTCTAGATGTGTTTACAATACTTGTGCTTTAGCAATACTTTTTAGAAAGGGGAAGAGAAATATAGGCTCTTAGAACATTTTTATCCTTTCCAGTAAAAGAAAATAGTTCAAATAGCTTTATCATAAAAATAGAATTTTGGCTTTTATCGGTTAATGCTGGGTATTTAATTTTCCTGCCAGTAGTGATAGAATAATGTGTTGATACAGCAGGAGTAGAATAATTGGATGATTTTAGTGATTTATTACTATATTAAAAAATATACCTACCCTTGAATGATCTTAAGTACTTTCTGAAAGCATGATCTAAAGTTTTAAGCATATGCCGGGGCTGCCTTTAAATTTTCCTAAGTATTAGTAACAAAGACAGTATGACAAGTCAGGTGTTCTTAAAGCTATTTAGAATGACAACTTACAATATAATAGGCAACCCAAGTAACCAGTGCAAATTTTGCTTCAGTGTACAATTTTCCCTGACAGTAACTATTTTCAATGATGTGTGACCCCAATTCTTCCATATACTAAAAGGCAAGAATGCTGTTATGTGGGATTCTGCAGGATAAATGTGTTCTGTACAAATGACATAACCCAATCACAAACCATTTATGACTTGAGATGGCAATTTTAAATACTATCAAGAGAAAGTAGACTTGATCTCTGTGAATGAAATCAGTGCCCAGAGAGAAGTTATTTCTGAAGACCACAAAAAAAAAAAAAGACATTTTGAAATGGGTTTCATCCTGAAGGCAGAGCTTATTAATATAACTTTCTCTTCATCTCCTCCTCCTGTGCCGAGATGTAAGATTTCGTAGGCAGAGCAGATACTTTCTGGTAACAGCACTTCCTCTAGTACCTTCTCTCCGATTTACAGAAAATCGGAGCATTCAACTGACAGAGCCATGCACCACGGTTTTGCATTCGAGGCAGTTGTACTTCTAGATCTTGGAGGTTTCAGAGTAGCACCTGTGGCTGGGGAACCAGTATTTCAGGACAGGGGTCTCATTTAAACGGAAGAGGACTTCTAAGCAATCGTCTGGAACACACCCTTTTGTGTGGCTAAGAGGCAGGAATCCTGCTACAGAAAACTGCCCTTTTTAAAGTTGCAGTTTCTAATAGGCTGCTCTCAGAGCTATTTAAAAATAAAGGGCATTACTCGAGATATGGTGGGAAATTACAGGAAGCCTGTTGAGTCTTCTGGATCAAGGGCATTTCTTACTCCTCCCCTTGCTAGAACCTCTCCTTTGTTCCTTGAAGGTAAGGAACCATCAGTGCTTTGGGAATGGAGCTGTCCTGCAGAGGCCCTCAGGTACCGCTTATCAGATTTCACTGGGCTGAAAAACCAGGCAAAGTTTCCACATAGAGCAGAGCACGTTTAATAGCGTGAGTCCACTTGTTTTTTTTTTTTTTTTTTTAATTTATTTTTGGGACAGAGAGAGAGCATGAATGGGGGAGGGGCAGAGAGAGAGGGAGACACAGAATCGGAAACAGGCTCCAGGCTCTGAGCCATTGGCCCAGAGCCTGACACGGGGCTCGAACTCACGGACCGCGAGATCGTGACCTGGCTGAAGTCGGACGCTTAACCGACTGCGCCACCCAGGCGCCCCATCCACTCGGTTTTTAACACACCGACTCATCACCGAAGCGTATGCATTAGTGCCCTGTTGAAAGGATACCACCTTTTTGGCAAAATTTAGGAGATTAGTTGAGGGTACAACTGCCTGGCCCTTAAAGAACTCAGAGGAAGGGGCCAATTACCTGGTACAAGTCCTGGACATTCTCCTACATCGTAACTTTTAACACTGGAGTTGCAACTGGCTTTCCGAGATGTCAACTGTATTTCGAGTTGATTCAGAAGCTTCGGATCTGCATGACCCGAAGAGGTGAGGACCTAAAGAACACTTTAGTCCAAAAGCCTTAAACAACCATCAGACCATGTACTGTATGCTTTTAAAGTGAATTATGCATAAAAGTCTGTGCAAACTACAAACATATATTGCAATAACATTCTCAAAAAATCCTAGTATATATTTTAGCATTATTAAGTTATATAAAATACATCTTTATAAAAGTACAGAATTTTTTTAAAGTTTAAATTATACCCACTGAAATAGGTGGCCAGGCTCACTTTTTAGTACTAAAATAAGGTTTTTATCTAAATTATTGCTTAGTCCTATGGAGCCATTAGAAACCTGTAACAAATAAAAATCAAGTCCTATTTCTTAAGGAAAAGTGCCTTATTAAAAATTCAGCTGTCATTGAGTTAGTCTCTCTGAAGCCTCTCCCTTGAGGAATCTTCCATAAAATTTTTTACTGATGCTGCCCCTGGCTTGGCTTGTCAGGATCCAACATGGAGTCTGGTTGGAAAGTTCCCACCTGTGCCAGGAAGCTGTTTGTTTGCTGTCCCCAGTCATAGTAGTCTGGAGCAAAACTTAAAAAGAAAAAGACATATTGGTGACTTGGAATGCTGTACTTCCTCCTGATGACCTATTTTAGATGGACAGAACTGGGGTTTTTGTAGATAAAGTGTAGACAAGCCCAGTTTTTTAAAGTAGCTTCTTGAAGTCCATGTGTGTGCAGTGGCCAGAAGTTCACCCGCAAAAACCTACTGAACGCTGTGCAGCCCAGAAGCATCGTATTAGAACCGTAAGCCAATCACTATGTATAACAAAATATTCCACCAGCAAATTGTGTCTGACAGCTCTGGACAGGTAACTTCGCATTGATTTTGTCACGTGTCGAACACTTGTAGAATCAATAACTGCCCTGTTGGGCTTCTGTGAGTTAATACCTGTAAAGTGCTTAGAACAGTATCTCAGTGTCTAGTAAGCCCTCAACAGTGTACCTTTTATATTCTTCTTCTCACCTTCCGTGTGGTAGAAAAGGGATCTTCTTCCACAAGGGGAGTGAGGACCCTCTCAGCTCTGGGCTGCCTTTGGCAGGTGAGAGGCCAGGGCAGCTCCAGCAGGACAGGGAGGGACACACATAGCGAGAGGGAAATGTGGTGGGGGAAAGGGATGAGAGAACATTCTAGGGAGAACAACTTTTGACCTCGAGAAGTCCTTGGTTATTGGCTCCCCTCCAGATTTCTATGTTCTTCACATCTGCTGGCGTGGTCTGTGGATTGCTGTGCTTTCCCCAAGCACAGATGCATCTTGGATTCTGTCTGGTTTGCTGCTCCCTCATTTAGTGAGCAAACCATGTGTCCCCCAAGCTTTTCCTCAGTTCTGTGTCCCTAACACAAGGGCGCCTCTCACGTTTTCCAAGGACATTTATTGTTCGTAATAAGGAGTAAAAAAGCTAGCTTATCTTCTATCATTCCATCCTGAGGGTGGAGTTGGGGGGGGGGAGGATAATTTATGTTAAAATGTTAATGATCACCCTTTAAATGTACAAAGGATTGCCAAAAAAAAAAAAAAAAAAATCTTTCACATCCAAGAAACACACTTCCAAGAAAAGAGGCCTGAAGCCTCCCTTTCACAGCAAGCGAATGGGGTCCTGGGACCACAAGCCCCAGCAGAGAGGCGCTCGGTAAGCACCAGCTCAGCCCTTTTTGCTTCTCTCCCTGCTGCTGGCCCTGAAGTCCCAGGTTCACAGGCTGCAAGAGGGGACACAATGATCACTGGGCCCTGGGGAGTGGCTAAGCATCACAGGCTGAAAAGGCGGAAGGGAACCCCAGTAGCTCCCGCCCCTCCTGTCTGCCGCAGAGTAAGGAAGCATAATCCTGGGGGAGGGCCTCTCAGGTTGCACTTAGTCTCCTAGTCAGGGGCTTCTCCTCCCTCCATTTCCTCTCTGCCGCACAGCCTCCAGCTCCAGGGCTATTTTACATGGGCATTTTCTCTTGGGTTGAATCGATTTCACCAGTGCAGTCCTCAGCCTAGTAACCATGCCTCTCTACCTTGAACTAGGGTCTCACCTTCCCTGAAGTCCCTGAGGGGCGATGTTCCAGGCAAGGTCATCATCACTATCGTATCTTCGAGGGTTGTCAAAGAAGTAAGATCTGGGGCTGAATCCGTGGCTGGGGACCATCCCAGGGTTCGTCTAGAAAGACAGTTAATTGTTCAGTTACTTTGAGACACTATGCCTTCCTCTAGACAAAGACGAGGAAGATTCTTTCTTGTTGGAAATTGAAGATTCTGTGCCCATCTGAATGGAGGATGTACCTGTTCAACTTCAGTGTTCATTTTAGTTGCTTTTATATTTAAGAGGTGTTAACTTTTTCTTTTCTCAGTATGGACAAAATCTTCTTTCAGAGTTCTGCTTGCAACAATGAATTACTGTTTCAATCCCTTACTGAAACACCAGGCACTGCCCAAAGTAGCCAAACTCCATAGTCCCGAATTAGCTACAAACCTCTATAAACATGTGGGCATTTACCACAAGTTAAAATAGTGAAACGATAATGATGAAATAATTTTGAGAAGGTTTTGTATCCAGTTTCCATATCCTGCTTCTATAATCCTTTCATCCTGTTTCTGTCCCCATGCCGAGCTCACCTTTCAAAAGATTTCAAATGACTGGTTTCATTAAGTAAGCAGAAGATCAGAACTGCATTATATGGCAAACCAAAGCTGGCATAAAATACAGAATTTGTTTGACATCCTTGTGCGTATCACTACTGGTCTGTTTTAGAGTTAAACAAGAGTCTGAAACAAGGTTGCTATATGATGGTATCTATATGGAAATGCCTCCTTTTCTAAGACTAATCTAGCAAATACAGGAAACAACTTACACAAGGTGGGATGCCTGAAAATTTATCAATTTGTAGCAGTTCAAGAATGTCTTTGCAGAAGAATGAATTTGGATCCCTAACCTCACACAGATACAAAAAGTAACTCAAAACGGATCAAGGGCCTAAATGTAAGAGTAAAACCTGTAAATTGTTGAGAAGAAAAATAAAGGCACGGATCTTTGTGACCCAGGAAATTTGGCAAAGGATTCTCAGAAATGGTACCAAAAGCATGAGCAACAAAAGAAAAAAACATGATTAAAATTAAAAACTTCAAAAGATACCATCAAAAAAGTGAAGAAACAGCCCAAAAATGGGAGCAAATATTTGCAAAATCCCTTATATGACAAGGGACTTGTATGTAAAATACACCAAGAACTCTTACAACTCAATAACTCCATTTAAAAATGGGCAAAGGATCAGGGCACCTGGGTGGCTGTCAGTTAAGTGTCTGACTTCAGCTCAGGTCATGATGTTGCGGTCCGTGAGTTCGAGCCCCACGTCGGGCTCTGTGCTGACAGCTCAGAGCCTGGAGCCTGCTTCGGATTGTGTCTCTGTCTCTCTGCCCCTCCCCCACTCACACTCTGTCTCTCTCTCTCTCTCTTAAAAATAAACATTCAAGATTCCTTATTTTATAAAAGCAGGGGAAGCAAAGGATTTGACTAGACATTTCTCCAAGGACGATGTACAAATGCCCAATAAGCATGTGGAAAGATGCTGAACATTGTTAGTGATCGGGGAAATGCAAATCAAAAGACACAGCGAGGTACTAGCCATCCAGGGTATCGAGAATCAAAAAATCAAATAACAAGCGCTGGGGAAGAGGTGGAGAGCCAGAAGATCCGCTACGGGTGTGAATGTAAAATGGGGCACCTACTGTGGAAAACAGCGTGGCAGGTCTTTTAGAAAACGTGCGGCACCAACTTCCGGGACGACGGCAGAGTCGGAGGGGCCTGAGCTCACCTCACAGATACAAGCAGATGACACATCGGTGTAAATAACCCAGAAAACAATTCAAACACTGACACAGCAAACTCCACAAGTAAACGCTGAGAAGGAGTCACGTCAAAGACCGTAGGGAGAGCAGAATCCTGCTCGGGAGCTAACGGGAGATGCCATCTGCAGGTGGCCAGGACCTGTGGGCACAGTGAGGGCAGAGAAAGGGTTCCTCACACCCCCGGAGCCTGCATGGGGAAGTGAATCCCCGTAACATGTGGCTCTGGAAGCCAGAAGGGCCGAATTTCCTGAGTTCTTACAACTCAGGCTGCACTGAAAGCCTGGAACTTCGTAACTCACCAGGCTCAGTTCCGGAAGAGGCAGGAGGGAGAGAGGGAAACCGTGGGCCACTCTTAACGAGGCAGCACACCAAACAGCCGGGAGCTGCAGTTTGAGAGATGCCTGGGGCTCACGGGAGCGACAGTTGGTCACTAACCTCAGGGCCGGTACCCGAGGGCCAGATTTCACTGGGAGACGCATCCAGGAGCAAAGGGGCTGCAGACACAGCCTCCCTATCCCACCCCCACCCCCAGCAGTAAACATAGCCACCTGGGGGAACCAGCACCGTGCCAGCACCCACGGCCTGCCTCAGCCCTGGTGCCGTGGGTCCCCTCCTCCGGAAGACAGTCACAAACGTTGCCAAAGCCGAGTGTCCCTACTGTGTGTTTTGGCAGGGCCTGGGTCCTGGCAGCAGTGGTGGGTCACCCCCCACGGAGCATGCTTGCACCTCGTGGAAGCTGCACGCCCTGCCCTCTGTACACACTGCAGAGCGGCCCTGGCCAGCCTGTCTCCGCAAGGCTGCGTGTCCCCTGTGGAAGAGGACCCGCACGGGAAACTGCACGGGCAATGCACATTCCACTTGTGCACTTTGCGGAGCAATCCAGGCTGGCGGGGCTTGGCGGTGGAGGGACATCCCCTCTGTAAAAGGGCCAGTTCCACCTTCTTAAAAGTACACAGCCCACTACTACTTTCAAGGGCAGGGAAAGTAACTGACTTTTCTAACACAGAGAAACAGAATCAGGAGTGCCTGGGTGGCTCAGTCAATTAAGCACCCGACTTTGGCTCAGGTCATGATCTCACAGTTCGTCCGGTGCTGACAGCTCGGAAACTGGAGCCTGGAACCTGCTTCGGGTTCTGTCTCTCTCTCCCTCTGCTCATGCTCTCGCTCTCTCTCAAAAATAAATATTAAAAAAAATGAAAATTAAGGAAAAAAAAAACAGAAGTAGACAAAATGAGGAGACAGGAACATGTCCCAAATGAAAGAACAGGACAAAACCTCAGCAAAACACCTAAGCGAAACCAAAATAAGTCATATACCTCATAGAAACTTTAATGATCTCAAAGCTACTCACTGGACTTGAGAAAAGAGTGGGAAACATCAGTGAGACCCTTGACACGAGATAAGATAGAATCAGAGATAAGATAATCTAAAAATACATTAGATTTAATAACTAGCAAGCCTGAAGCACCTGGGTGGCTCAGTTGAGCATCCAATGCTTGATTTCAGCTCAGGTCGTGATCTCACAGTTGTGGGATTGAGCCCTACATCAGGCTCTGCTCTGAGCACTGGGCCTGCTTGGGATTCTTTCTTTGCCCCTCCCCCACTCATACTCTCAACATTAAAAAAAAAAAAAAAAGGCTAGAGGAAGCAGAGGAACGCATTAGACACCTGGGAGGGCAGAGTGTTGGAAAGTAATCAATGTGAGCAGGTGAGAAGAAAAAACAAATTGTGCAAAATGAGAACAGACTCTGAAGCTCAGCAACTCCATCAAGCATAATAACGTCGCATGACAGGGATCCCAGAAAAAGAAGAAAGAGAAAAGGGAGCAGGAAATGTATTTGAAGAAATAATAACTGAAACTTCTGTAATGTGAGGAAGGAAATAGATGCCCAGATCCAGGAGGCATACAGATCCCTCAAAAAAATCAACCAAAGGAGGTCCACACCAGGACGTATGGTGATCAAAATGGCAAAACAGTTATAAAAGATTTTAAAAGCAGCAAAAGAAAGGACTGTTACATACCAAAGAAACCCGATAAGGCCATCCGCTGCCTTTTCGACACAAACTTTGCAGGCCAGAAGGGAATGGCATGATATATTCAAAGGAAAAAATCTGCCATCAAGAATACTCAACAAATAATCCTAAAATTTGTATGGAACCACAAAGACCCCAAATAGTCCATGCAATCTTGGAAAAGCAAAGCAAAGCTGGAGGGATCACAACTCCAGACAAGTTCTATTACAAAGCTGTAGGCATCCAAACAGTGTGGTGCTGGCACAAAACAGACACATAGGCCAATGGAACAGAACAGAAAACCCAGAAATAAATCCACAATTATATGGTCAATTAAAATTCAACAAAGAAGGCAAGAATACACAATAGGAAAAAGTCCCTTTAACAAATAGTATTAGGAAAATGGGGCCACATTTTTACACCATACACAAAGTAAACTCAAGATGGAGTAAAGACCTAAATGTGAGACCCGAAACCGTAAAAATCCTAGAAGAGAACATAGGTAGTAATTTCTCTGACCTCACCCACAGCATCATTTTTCTAGATATGCCTCCTGAGGTAAGGGAAACGGGCAAAAATGAACTATTGGGACGCTTCTGCACAGCGAAGGAAACAACCAACAAAACCAACAGATAACCTACTGACTGGGAGAAGATATCTGTAAGTGGCATATTCAATATAGGGTTACTATCTAAATTATATAAAGTTATAGGGGCGTCCGGGTGGCTCAGTGGGTTGGGCGACCAACTCGGGCTCAGGTCGTGATCTCGCAATTTGTGAGTTCAAACCCCGCGTCGGGCTCTGTGCTCACAGCTTGGAGCTGGAGCCTGCTTTGGATTCTGTGTCTCCCTCTCCTCCTCGTGCTCTCTCAAAAATTAATAAACGTTACGGGGCGCCTGGGTGGCGCAGTCGGTTAAGCGTCCGACTTCAGCCAGGTCACGATCTCGCGGTCCGTGAGTTCGAGCCCCGCGTCGGGCTCTGGGCTGATGGCTCAGAGCCTGGAGCCTGTTTCCGATTCTGTGTCTCCCTCTCTCTCTGCCCCTCCCCCATTCATGCTCTCTCTCTGTCCCAAAAATAAATAAACGTTGGAAAAAAAAAATTAAAAAAAAAAATTAATAAACGTTAAAAAAATAATTTTAAAGAAGTTATAAAATGCAACATTCAAAAACCAAATAATCCAACTAAAGGGGTGCCTGGGTGGCGCAGCTGGTTAAGCGTCTGACTCTTGGTTTCTGTTCAGGTCATGATCCCGTGGTTCATGAGATTGAGCCCTGTGTTGGGCTCTGTGCTGGCAGTGTGCAG